GGTCAATTCAGTCAGTCGCATAAGAATTGACCAATCGCAGTCGATTATTCTTACGACTACGACCATTGTAGACAGAACCGAGAATCATTGTAGCGGAGGCTTAAGGCTGGGTCTACATAGGATGTAGTAAGTCGTGTCGGAAGAAATTGACCAATCACAGTTCATTATTCTCCTTACGGTCGAAGAATAATGAACTGTGATTGGTCAATTTCTTCCGACACGACTTACTACATCCAATGTAGACCCAGCCTAAGAGCTGCTCGCTCATTGGATGTGACGTAACTGTGTTACTATCGCAAGAAGTAAACTCTGCGCGTTGCATCGTGCGCGCTGGCAGTCAAAAATATGTCGTACGTAACTATTTCTTTTTATAATTTAAAAACTATGCTTGGGAGAAAATTTAGGTAAAGGAAAAATTCTCGATTTTCGCGATTTGAATGTGAAAATTCTCGGAAATGCAATTCTTGGAATTTTTGCTAGACTACGGATTGGGATTGGGATTAGATTGAAATTTGACCAATCAGAGTAAAAGTTACTGAACTTGAGATTAGTAAACTTTACTGTGATTGGTTAAATTTCAATCTAATCCCAATCCCAATCCGTAGTCTGATACGGGCTTTAGGTCACAGAATCACAGAACTATTTCAACGGAATTATTGAAACGATTCTATCAGAATGACCCTGTGATTGGTGATACGCAGGTTACGCTCCATGTGAATCCAGCCTTATAGTCTGTGGTCAGAGTGGAAACGCAGCCACATGGTCAAGCTTGTGTTTTACACAGGAGTTGAGTCTCTTGGTCTTGTTGATATAAGGTCTATGCTCAACTCGAGATTGAACCGTTGCCTGTTCGCTCTATCTTTACGTGCTTCTGGCCTTCTGCTGCTCCCTGCTGCTCCCTTCAGTTCCTTCTACAGTCGCTGCGACTGATCCGAGTGGGAATATAGTGTTGACAAAGGACATAAATGAAATTAAAAACCTAAGATTTTGCATAAAATGTGATATCCCATAAGGAATAAGAATACGATACCTTTTGGAATATAATTGTAAGGAAATATGGCTGAAGAAAGTAAGAAAATTTCCTTTGGTTTTGCAAAGTCTATAAAGAAGCCAATTTTGGATAAGCAGAAGCTGCACGAGGAGAAAAAAGTGGATTATATTGAATGTCTAGATGAAAAGGCGATTAAAGTAATCGGGTAAGTTAACAAGTTTATTTCAATGGAAAACTGCGCTTGTAACCTCATCTACAAGCCTTTAATGTTTTTAATATTCGTCTCTATATCTTTGACTTGGTGTCATTCATTTTCTAATAATGTTTAATTAAAACGTTATTGATTGTACTACTTGAACTTACTAAGCACCCCAAACGATACGTGTTATGTGTCGTAACAATCTGTAGGTAAATTTGATAGAAGGATACGTTTGTTTAGGAAAGAAGAGAAAAAAGAAGAGCCTCTTATTATTCCACTATTGGAATCTAATACCTGGCGCGATAGAATTATTAGCAAAATAGATGCTTCAAAGTCGAAAACAAGTAACGATGCGACACAGGGTGTCAAGATTAAACAAGAGCCAAACCAAGTATCAAATGGCGATTTAACGTCAGCTGATAAAGCTATTTCTCTCTTGAACGTACAAGTAAAAACGGAATTGCCCACCGAGAGTAAAACCCTCACCTTGGATGAGCAGGCAGCCAAGGAGATCATAGAAGACCTCAAATCGACAGAAATAAATCACGACGAATCGCACGATATAACTTTATCCGTAGTTAAGGGACAGGATTTAAACGGCGCGGAAGAAGTAAGTGCTTCCTTTTCATGAATCATCGATAACAGTTTGTAATACATTTAACTCAATCACATAAAAATATTGTATTTCTCTTTTTACGTAGAGTACGTTAGAAGATTACGAAAAGGTGCCACTCAATATCTTTGGTTCAGCTATGTTACGAGGTATGGGATGGAAACCTGGCGAAGGAATCGGTAAAAATCCAAAGTAAGAACTTTGTTTTCGAAGCATGTACATGTTATATATATATATATATTTATTTTGACGTGTATCTTTGTATTTGCAGACTCGTAACATCTGTTGTACCTGAATTACGGCCAATGGGGATGGGACTTGGTGCAGATAAGATAGCGTTGCAAAAACAGGTTGGAAAAACTCCCAAGGAAGAGGAAGAATTGCAGATAAAGAAAGGGAGTTTTATAAAAATCATTGCTGGCAAGCGTTCCAACGCGTATGGCCAAATAGAAGGCTTTGACGATGCGGGAAGATTAATCGTGAAAATGGCACTCAATGGAAATATCGTCTCTGTGAACGAGTGTATAGTTCAAGTAGTAACAAAGGCTGAATATTCGAAAAATTCCAAAGTTCTAAGTTAGTAGACGAAGCGATGATTTCTTGAGGGACTTTTAAATGAACAGGTGTAAAAGCGTACATAATTATAAAATTTCAGTTTGTCAACAGATTAGTTAAACTAGGCTTAAATTAATCTAGTTTCTCAATATATTCAATTGAAATCGGAGAATGATTTGCGAGAAAGATGCAAAGAACTGATGCAAGTATTGACTGCGCGCACGAGTGTGACATTTAATTTGCAACTTTTTAAAAGTCCCTGCATAATCTGTTGACTTGTACAAGATTACTGCAGTTTCAGTCTTTAGTATTCGATGAAACTCATTTCAGATGCTGCCAAGTATGAAGAACATAAGAAAAAGGAAGGTGCGAACAAACGGAGATCCGTATCGCTGGACAAATTTAGTAATAACGATAGCAGCGATTCAGACGTGTCCGATAGGAAAAGAAGGCACAGAGAGAACGAGCATGGACATCGATCGAGGAAATCGAGTAAAAAATCGAAAACCCAACCAAGGGATTTATCCGACAGCGAGAGTGACAGTGACAATAAGAGGAGAAATCGAAGGCGCTCCAGTAGTAACGATAGGATTAGAAAGGCAAAGAAATCCAAGAAATACAAAGGAAGAGATCAAGAACGAGAGGATAAAGTATCGAGATCCCTGGAATCTTTCGACAGAAGAAAATTGAAAAAATACAGGAGATCTCGATCATCCAGTAGACGATAACGTACTTAAATTGCAACATATATGAATGTTTTATCTTCTACATTGACTTGTATAATTTTATTTGTATCTCTTTTTAATAAAACTTATTTTTCCATATAGCTGAATCTTTTTCAGGTAAATCTCCAATCTCGTGTATCCTCTTTGACTTGAAATTATATTGTAGAGAATTTTTACAGAAGGCAGTCTGTAAAAGAAAAGGGAAGGGAATAGAATGGGCGGAGGTGAAGAAAGATCAATAATGTTTTGCCAACAATATTGTCATCTCAGATAACGTTGGAATCTCAAGTTGTTTCTCTCTCTCTTCTCTTGTATAAGAAGACATTTCATGATATCTACGTCATACGTAGAGTAGATAACACTTGTGGTTTTTACGTCATAGAGATAAACAGGTGATGACTTAACCTGTCATGTTGCGGGCAAGTGTCTCGTGGCACGGAATAAGAAGAATGACTAGTACGTGCGCGAGTCTGTCATTTCTACATTTAATGTAAAAAACAAGCAAAGAACGCAATTAAATTGTGCTGTTGTTGTCCAATATTTTCTCCGCTAAATTTTTGCATATCGAATCGCACTGCCTATATCGTAGCGTAAGCAGGGGATGCGGGTGACAAAGAGATGTTGACATTGTTGGTATATGTACGGTTTCAGCCCTACGTCTCGCGTTGGTCCAGCTGTCCGTCGGCGATGACAAGGCAACGAACGTCTCGCGAGCCGTCTCTTTTATCGAGCGTGCGAAACAGGACCGAGCCGATATCGTGACGCTGCCCGAGTCTTTCAACTCGCCATACGGAACGTGTAAATAACAAGAACATGAATGTTTTTTGACTTGCAGAAATGCCTTGAAAAAATTACAGAAATTACCCGGCCCCTCACCTTTTGTTTTTCACGCAACATTACACAGCCCTAATTAGAATCGGAATTAAAATTTGTCAAAATAAAAAAGTTGGAATACTATTTACTGGTTCATCACATTTCATAAAACAAATAGCTCACTTTGCGAAATATGCCGAGAGCATTCCGGACGGCGAGACGAGCGCGGCGTTGTCCGAGGCGGCGAGAAAGAATAATGTCTATGTGATCGCTGGCACGATAATGGAGAGAAGCAACGACAAGTTGTACAACACCTGCACGGTATGGGGACCGGATGGAAAACTCGTAGCCAAGCACAGAAAGGTGAAAATGTCGCACGTCTTTCTATAATGAAAGAAATGCTTAAGATGCTTCCTTACAGATGCATTTGTTCGATATTGACGTTAAAGGGAAAGTGACTTTTCGCGAAAGTGACGTCCTATCCGCTGGCAATACCCTTACCACCTTTCAAGCGAAAGGTTGCAAAATCGGCATTGGTATTTGCTATGATATCAGATTTGAAGAAATGGCACGACTCTATAGAAACCAAGGTGATTAATTTACCATATATATCAACTATAGTTGTATATATTAATTCCGTGATGTATTAGGTTGTCAGATGTTGATATATCCGGCGGCATTCACCATGACCACTGGCCCGCTGCATTGGTCGCTTCTGCAGCGTGCCAGAGCAACTGACAATCAATTATACGTAGCCAGCGTATCACCGGCACGTGGCTCACCGCCTGGATACGTCGCTTGGGGGCATACCCAGTTAACCAATCCTTGGGGAGAAATACTTGAAGAGTTGGATGCTGCCGAGGATATGGTGGTCTCCGATATAGGTAATTAATGTTGCAAAGCTAGAATTACGATCAAACGGCACATATACTTTTCAACAGACTTTTCCAATACTACAATATACTTTGTAGGGTGTGTAAAACGTGTTATTATAATTTATTATATTTAATATAAAACGTCATTTGTCGGGCATATAAAATATAGTTGTAGTATATTTAAGTTAAGTGACAAAAAATTAATATATACATACATGTAACATAAGAAATAATACTGCATTATTCTACAGATCTGGCAGTCGTGGATCAAGTCAGAGCTCAAATCCCGACGTTCGATCAACGTCGTACTGATCTGTATGACACCATTTGGAAGAAGGGAAATTAGCAAGACGCTTATGTCATTAAGTAATTTCGCACGTGTTATCATGAGCAATCCTATCGTCATCAACTGTTATTATAGAAAAGAGAGCTTCAAATTTCACATTCAAACACATTCAAACTTGGTAGATAAATATATTTTGTCAAATGTATATCTACACGTGTGATACGATATTGTAAATCTAATTATTCTCATCGGTATCAATTTCGTATCTTTTGATATACCTACCAATTTCGTCTTATCGTTAAATCGTTATTTCATCAACTTGTTGCTTCAGGGAAGATTAGAGAAATTTCCGTTCAAAGAGACAATATATCGAGTCTGTTTAGTATTTTGAATTTTATTGTAATTTCATATATGTAGATTTTGAATCATCACTCACACATAAAAGGCCCCTGGATCATTATATGACATTGTTATGTCGAAAGTACGTATTGCAGTAAAATTACATCGATATATTACACACACACTAACACATCTTCTCTTTCTCTGGTAAATTAGGTTAGGTCAGTTTTCTACTTAAAATGTAAGCTTTTTATAAAATGTAAGCTATAAAAGAGAGGAAAAGCATAAATATAAGCGTGTGTTTACAAAGAGAGATATAGTTGAGCAATCTCAAAGCAATCCAAAAGTCTGGCAAATTTGATGAAAGTTTTGAAAACATAGCAAGATTGCATGAAAAATTAGGTCACGTCCGAGCCAGGCTGGTACTGCGAACAAGTCTATCGTATTTGAGTTACAATCATTTATTTATCTCAAACTATTAATTCGGCTTCGGTGGTGCCGTTTGTCCAACTTTGCCTTGATTGTTGCGCGAAACTCGGGCAAGGCGCATATTTAAAATTCAAGAGAGTCAAGACTCGGAAACTAATACGCCTTCGGTATTGAAAGCGGCTCAATTGAGATGTTTAGTACCTTAAATTGAGGCGATTGAAAGATTGCCTTCAACGCTTCAATATGGTATAAACACATGGTAATAAGTGAGCAAGCTCCTAACGACCAAGATATATTATCAACTTCCGTGCGACGGATGGAAGTAAGAAATGTATAAATTAGGCTCTAATGCACCACACACGCAATATTAAGAGCTCGCGCGGAACTTATTCGCAAATACCCTGTGGTAGTGATAGAACGGACCTTGATTCACACAACAATTGATTCGCGCGCCATCATTCTCTCGCTTTTTGCGCAGTCAAACGTGACAGATGATTTTTATCAACATTAACGATACCTAACGATCGTAACGTTTATATAGAATCTTATGGATAAACATTTTTCAAAAGAATAACAATTCTTCGTAATAATCCCTTTCTCATGTAGTAAATAGAATTTCCGCCTAATTAATCGATTATACGTTATGTATATATATGTATACACGTTAATCAATATGTTATTCACTATTACCATCGTCATCTTTACACAATTACGATTGTTCCAGCCTCTCTTTTGTCATCTCCAATTCTTTAAGAGGATGCTTTCGGCAGAGATATTCACAGCGCTAATCGAAGCCTCCGAAATTCGCAAAGCGATTAGCGATCCAAGGACGAGGAGAGAGTAATCAAACGTCGTAAAAATATATATATTATATTATATATATCACAGACAAGCATATACGTGCGCAAATACCGGAATACGCGGTGTCGCAATACTGGAGACTCGCAGATATTCGTAATATACAGTAGCGCCATTTCTCTTATTATTAGCGAGGAATGACTTATAATATAGCACCGTATTTTCATGTTCACCCTGAAAAGATCAAGAAAGCACGTTTGGGTACGTTATACTATTACAATTCGTGTGGCCCCATGTTGCTCGGCTTTATCGGCTTTATCGGCTTTATCGGCTGCTGTTGGTATTGGAATATCGTTTCGCATTTCGTTAAAAGCAGTCGGCTCCTTTGCTTTTTTTTTTATATCGGTTTCCGGTAAGCGTTAGAAAATAACAGATTTCTATAACATGGCAAGGCTCCAAAGTCGCATTCGCATCGATCACTAATCGGCAATTGTCACATAATACTTAAGAATATTAGACTCTTCTCGTTTAATTATATTAATCATTTATGCTTCTCGATTTATTCACCGACCAACAATTAATAGCGCGGTATCGCAAATCGACAGCAATTATAATTAACTGGCTTGTTATCGCGTGAAAATTCAGGCGCTTATTATAATTATCGCCGCTTTGAAATGTGCGAATAATAGTGAATTAGTGATCGAGTGTCAATTGGAGAGTAATCGAAATGTTTTGCAATATGGAAGCGGGCGGAAAAGTACGTTGTTGAGATACAAAACGTCCAAACTTTCACCAAGTCAAAAGTTGCATAGCGATATTATTCTATTCAAGTTTCTATTTCGAAATAAAACATGTTCACGCGTGTAATAAAAAGATTTTAACAGACAAACCCTCTCGCAATAAGAATGCACAAACGATGCCTATATTATAAGAATATATTTTTTCGTTTTAAAAACATGCGTTTACGTTACAAGTTTTCTCTCAATCAATGAGATCGATTTGTATGAACTTGTAGTAAAATCTGGTAACGTACGCGAGCGAACACTTTGTCATTAGATATGACAAAGAGACCGCTTGACTCGGCTAATTTTATCTCCACGAGGGAAAAGCTTTTTCTCGCGCACGCGAAACAAACATTATCGAAAGCGCGACTGTCGAAAGGAAATTTGCCCAAGATTTATGCATACGGATCATGAGAGAATGAATTTTATGCGAGATGTCCTTTTAAAAGAAACGCCTCATTATCGGCGAACCCGATAGCAAAGTAGAGCAAAGCGAACGAAGGGTAAAAAGTGGATTGAATTGGAGATTGAATCGAGTCTCTCTTTCAAACAAAGAGGATATCACGCACTCGACGAAACGTTCCAGCTCCTATAGTGTTCGCTGACGAGAGACTTGTGTATCTGCGCACTAATCTCTCAACTCAACCCGACACGTTTCTTTTGTCGCATCACACATCGTTTTGCGACAATCAACAAATTTTTACCTAGTACACACGCACACGTCTCGAGCGCGAATATTGTCGAAGGCGAGATGCCAAATGTTTTCGCCAATTCTTATTATAATCTCGTATCCCTCATATCCATTCTCGAGCTGCTACCTAGGTAGTCTTGTCGTCATTTCGACGTCAAGATAACGTCAGCTTAACTGCAGAATTGCTACCAATTAAGCTGGGCTAACCGAGAATTGAGCATCGAATTAATTTTCTTACGATAATTTTACCTGCCTTATCGCACATATTTTCTGTACAACCTAATGCTGAATTTTACTCGAAACGAGATCAAGTGCACCTCGTATACGACAGTGGCTGACTGGTCTGATTGTGAGCGTTCGGATTAGGCCAAGAGCTACTCACGTCATTCTTTCACGTTCGAATATGAGTAGGTTTTAACTCGATATCGAGTTTGCGTGCCGTCTGATAAGTGTTATCACATCGAATTTGACAGGGTGGAAAAATATGAGAAAATGGATTTCGAAAGAAGTCGAAAAATGGAGAAAATCAAAAAGACTCGCTTTTGTGTGTGTGTGTGTCTCTGTGTACGCGCGCGCGTATCAAACCTGACCAAATTCACAATTTTTTTCAAGCTTTGCTCTTATCAAAATTATGAAAAAAATATAAATCTTCTTAATTTGGTGATGCAATAACAACAGCTACCATTGAAACTAGCGTCGAAACGACTACATTTATGAACTCTGTTGCTTGTTATTCGTCAAGTCAACATTTCGTTTCCTCAATTATTTTGAAAAAGCGACTCGATCGTTCGATCGAACTGTATCGGTCTATTACAAGAAACTGCAGTTCTCGGTTAACTGAGCTCGCGCTATTCCAAATGGACGACCTAATTACTCTCTACGGGTAAAGAACATACGAGACAAACCTGCCTCGAGGATTTCTTGTACGTAATTTTCTTGTCGTCGTCATCGTCGTCACCATTATCACTGATGGGCGAATTCTTGGAATTATCCGATGAGGGGAAGATCTATGGCGATGACGATTCTCGTCTGTTACTAAGGCACCATCGATAACGCGATCAATAGGCCCAACAGGCACATGACAGGACTCTGCTCGTTGATCTTGGACGATCCTGCGGCATCGTACACGTCTGGGCCACTCCAATCGTCGCTATCGTCGAGACACTCGAACTCGCAGCAGCGTTCACCCACGCGGAACCTTTTGCATTTCTGCGGAGTAATCGTGACATGAGATCGGTCAGCGTTTAAATCAGCCTCAAAATTATTCATTTATCATTTACAAAACTTAACCAGATAAAGATATTCTTTAGCGATTCTCTCATAGAAAACAGTCTATCTCGCGACATAGCTTTTGCATTATAAAACATAAAAAAAAGATGTTTATTTTTCAGTCTTACAATTAGATTCGTCTATAAAGGTATTTATAGAAATGTAATTTGAAGCTTATTTGCAATAAACCCAGTCCTTGCGAGACATGATATTGCAATCGTAGGCAAGATTAGCATAAAACTCGTCGCATGATGCAAATCGTAGTCCAGGCCCTACTGCCCTACATGAGACTTATCGCAAAAAAAATATGCGTCGCGTTGTGCTCGCGAGAACGTGTAGAGATGTTTAACGACGTGTGAAACGAGTTAATTGTACACGTGGACGTGTACAATCTGACGCATCTATACGCCCGCATTCGCAAACATGACATACGATTAATCGATTTTCTTGGTCTTTCGTGAAATATCTCAACTCTCTCTCTCTCTCAATTAATTCTCTATATGTGCATTTTTGAAGTATTATAATCAAATATTAAAAACGTAAAGATTTTACAAGTTTTTAGAACAGAAACGGAATGAAAAAAGAATTCATTTCATAACTTGGGAATTTGAAAAGAATTCCCAATTCTTTATGATTTCTCTGTGCTATGTGGATCATTAATGAACTTTCCTCCAACGTGGTACTAGTAAGGTCTAGCTGGAAGAAATTTAATAAATCAATTATTAACTATCCTGTTGAATAATTGAATAGTGTTCATTTATGCAAAGGACGTATATTTCTCTCTCTCTGATTAGTTCTCATTTGAGCAAATTGAGCAAAATCTTTTTAAATAAGTTTTAATTAAATTACTTCACCAGCAGAACGCTTCATTTTTTAATATTGTCTCGAGAATTATACACACGAGAAATTCTCAAACCATTTGATCCCGTAAACAAAACTTTTCACACACACTCCCGTCTCTCTCTCTCTCTCTCTCTCTCTCTCTTTGGTGCCAACTGGTGTACTATCTGACAGACTAGTTATGAAGATCGCTCTCTTTTGCAATATTCTAGTCAAGAAATTTTTCCTTCGGTACACATATCGTAAAATATGAAATATTTCTCACATACTGATTTTTACTATTTTTACTTTTTAGTAAGAATCGATAAGATAGCAATATTTATTATTTCTATAAAAATCAAATTTCACGAAATTACCGGTTCATTGTTAGTATTGTCCGATATTATTGAGTCCAACGTTAACATGCTTTTACTTCTCGTTAAGGTCTCTCCTTGCGAACTGTACAAAGCCGATTGCGCGCTTATTAGCGGTATAGCGGTCATTAAGTGCGTAATGTACGACATGGAACTTTGTGCTACTTTAGACGGTGGCGCATGTACAACATTGATTTTAATCGGTGGCGCGGGTGTAGAGAGAGTATAATTAAAACGTAGTTAAAGTGACGAGTGTATGCACGTGAGTCGCAAGGTCGCCGAGAAAAATGCGATTCATTCGCAAAACTACACCAATCCTTTTTATTTCTTATTGCGCTAATAAAGTAGTAAATTGCCTTTGTTGTTCCCAGTAGATGAAAATGTTTACTGGGCTCTATCATCTCGCGGTAATTAGTAAAACCACGCTATCGGTAGAAAATTCCCTACTCGAGAAAAAGATGCTCGTGAACATGATTTCTACAACATTAAATGCAATTTAACGCTTTGGTAAAAAAAAATTTTACTTGTAGAAAATTCGATCCCAGGATATGTGTGGATTCGAATAACTTGGCATCGCAGATACATGTTGCTCGCATTCTCGAGTACTCACGTATGGTGGCGTACAGTAAATAGCCTTACACCACAATGGCTCGGAATGATAGCAGACGCAGAGACTGCAAACCGCAGGTCCTGGCACGTAGAAGAGGCCGTGTTTAACAGTGCCACCCTGAAAATCCGTACAATTCTCCTCCAGGGCATCTGAAACAATTTACCACACACATTACAATTCGCAATCATACATCGCACACTGTGACACAAAAGAATCAGTCAAGTTGAATTAGAAATTAATACTTTCAAGAGAAAGAGACAGATGGAGAATAACACACATCTAAGCACAGAGTGAAACATAAAAATTATAAACATTTTTACCCGGACAAGTGTCTCAAAATACATATTATCTTTTTCATTCAAACCGTTTCACTTTCCGTTGTCAGTGACGAATCCTATGTCTACGTGTGCCGCTTACTTGTTCTCGCTGGCAGGAATAAAAGGGTGGACAGGCAGAACGTCCACGTGAATGACTTGCTGACAGAGGGCCACTTCATGATCTGCGGGACGTTTACTTGGAAAAAGTGGGACGTGCTTGTATCGATAGGTAGTCTCTCAGAGTGGTCGGCTACTGCAGCAACCTCCGTTCGTGCACTGACAGCAACAGGAACATGTTGCCTGCGCGAAAGCATCAGGATACATTTGTCATCGTGTTAGATCAATTTCGCGTGGGTTTGACCTAATGAACCGTAATCGCGCGATAATTGTCGTCTCGGCCTTACAGCCAGAATTATCGCGTATCGCGGAACTGGGAAATTTGCGAGAAACGCAGAATAGCTTGATGGCTGCTGATGACTGCGGAAGATTACGCAGTGCGCGTACACGATGCAGAATTTTATTCAATTAGCGCAATGTATATCATTTCCTCTATAAATTGCCAAACTATAATTCAATTTAGGCTTTTGTTCTTTTTCATTGAGATAGTAGGTTTTCAACGTCCAAATTCAATCACGAATCCTTTCTCGCAACGATTACACGATCTAACGATCAATTTTCCCCTAAACAGATTTCATTCCAAGAGCAATAATTCATGGTGGAACCAACAAACGATGTCTATTCATTTAGCAGAAACTCCGCTATCTCATATTAGTTGATCAGTTGACATTTCCGGATACGTGTAAATGAGTTTCATTAAGATGAGAATTTTCAAAATTGGCAAACGAGCTTCAGTTTTTTCACCACCCTTGAAAGTTACCCAAGAAACCCAAGTCCATATTTGCGATGTAATCGACGTAACGTCTGCCATACCGATTATTACACGAGGTATATAAACGGCGCACCAATACCAATTCTTCAACTTGTTCAAAGTTTCAAGCTGACTTTGGTAAAGGAACTTTTCGACGCTATACATATGTGAAGAGAGAATCTATCATTTATCTTTTATCAACAATAGAATCAATTGGTGTAAAGTCTACTATTATAGTTTCTATAGAGCTGAAATTCGTTAAAATCTTTATGTAAATGTACGTTCTGTAGTTGGACGTGAGTAAAGTCTTTCCGAAGCGATCATTCTGAATCGTTGTCGTGACGATTCCTCAAAGCTATCGCACGATCCTAGGATCCATATGCAGAGACAAACTTTAGCGCGCCGCGTCGTTTGCGTTATAAGCGTATAGAATCAATCGACAGCAGCTATTATCTGGATCTTCTTCCAATTACACTGTTTTCTCCATGTGTTTTGAATAGTTTTTAATATCAACTTGATTAATTTTCACTTAATTTGAATCCGAGAGAGAGAGAGAGAGAGAGAGAGAGAGAGAGAGAGAGAGAGAGAGAGAGAGAGAGAGAGAGAGACATGGAAATCTACATACATATAGTTTTCTATTTTATAAAATAGACCTCCTGTTTATAGATACAAATGTGAAAGGTGTTTTGAAAACATGTATAAGGAATTATTCATTATATTTAAGAAAAATGTAAAATGATGCATCGAGAGGAAAATCTCGAAACACTGTAAAGTTGTTGGATCCGTGCTGATGATGAAATAAAAATGTGTATTTATTTATATTCCTAAGCACAGTAACGCATAAGAGTTTGCTCAAGTGGATTGAATAGTTGGCGGTATTATCTTTTCGCATTGATTCTTTTCAATGCATTAAACATCGAGTATCCAAAAGACGCAACATTCACTAGATTCATAGTTAAAAAGCATTTTGCTGAAAGAAAAGAACGTTATGTAAATGAGATGAAACGGAAAAGGCCAATTGTTAAGAGCAAAGAGATAAGATGAGAAATAAAGGAATGGAAAATCGGTTTCCAGGAAGCGCGCGAATGATGTCAACGACACGACGCTCGTATCTATTACGGAATTGCGCTGGTTGTAGAGCAGGAACATGAGGGATGACGTCAGTCCGTTACGCTTTACATTGGATAATCAGTTGACAGCTGACGCGACGCGACGGGACCAACTAGCATCAGGTTGATGCAACCGATCGGTTATCCAGGCCGGCCGGAAATAAATCCGCATAGCAATGACGTTACCTTTGTACTACATCGCTCCGCCCCAATCGCCCGCTTTACATCGCCTTACATCGCCCCTCGTTGCTCCGCACGCACGTGCATACGTATACTCTTCCTCCGAAGAGAAGGGTGTGTGTGCACAATTTTTACTAATAAATCGATACATACATCCTATTCCGCGGGAAATCGGCCGTTTAGGAGAGGAGAGACAAAGTGAGAGAAAGAGGAGAAAGAAAAGGGGTACCGTACCGGCTGCGTGTTCGTCGCGAGACCTCCGAGAGGCTCAACGCGATGCAGCGGTTGATAGCGGCACCGACCGACTGACTGACTTGAACTCTGTCCGCTGTCGCAGTGTAAACTCATTCCTCTCACGCGGCTACCCGCGGGCTGCGGGTCGATCGAATACGTTTCGCGCTGTTCGCGCATCGCCTCTCCCTCTTTCTCTCTCCCTCTCTCGCTCGTTCTCTCCTTTTCTCGCAACGCTGCGACGAAACCACCCCCAGTCGCCACGCCGCCGCCGCCTCCGCCCCACAGTTGTCGTCACTTTTTTTTGTGTTTTTCGAACTGTAATAATAAATTGACTTAAATTCACTCGGAGAGACCTATAGATGAAGAGTAGAAGAGGGTAGCTCTTGGCTTTTTTAGAGAATTAGATGATTATATAAGTCACTCGCGCTCTTCGTAAAGCGCTAATTTATTGCATTTCAGATAATCAAATGTCACGAATTGAAGAAAAGAAATGCATAAAGAAATGCGCGGCAGATTGAAAAAAAATTAGTATAATAATAATACCGCATGTAGAATATATTGATTCGTGGACACTCGGTCAAATATGGAACTTGGCCAATTTGCCATTTGGCTTCGCGAAGACAATTCCAAAATATCTATACTCAAGAACGCGACGGCGCGAAATATCTTCTCGCTTTAACTTGAACTTACAATTGACGTAGCAGATTTGAAGAAATAATTGTACTTACAAGAGATACGTTTATACACAGAGAAATAAATATTTACCTCGCACAACGTTCTCTGTCATCTCGACTCGATTGATTTCAACCAATTTCAGCTGTCGATCTCTCTTGGGGCCAATTAACTACAATTAAACCCATTACAATTATTCCGGCCGGCACTTTTCCCGAATCCCGGTGAGAATGCGCGAGCGCGGTCACCATGGCGGTCGTCGTGGCAACCGTACGCGTCCTTGGTCCTTGTCAAACTCGAAACTCGAACCAAAGGAATCTGGAGAATCGAAACGTGTGAGGGGTTAATCAACGCTAGTCCTTATCGTTGGCTCCTTTCGATTTCCGATCCGTACGGGGTCATGAACGATTGCCTGTCGTTGAACGCGGCAGCTGGTCGCGTCGCTCACTTGGCACGCGAAAAAGTAAGGGCCAATTCACCAGGAATTACTCGTTGCCGTTTCCGGTGAGGAAATTTCCCATGTCAATTCCATGACAAGTACAACGATTACATTGTTAATTAGGAGGAAAAACGGATCCAAGAACGTCGACGCCATCTCGTTTATCTTATCGCTGCCTTTTTACGCGAGCAAGGGTGAGCAAGAATCCACGTTTATATTAATATCCAAGACCGTTTTGAACCGTCGACTAAGCACTAATGTTAAAGCCTGATTTGCGAAAAGTAAATATCTGGAAATATATAACGAGCGAGTGCATATTTGCCCAAAATTAGAAAAGTGATTAAATTGAAAACTATATTTATTCCAAGTAGTTATTCCAATAGCGCGGAAAGCCTTTTCAAGGAGGCTCAACTCTCCCGAGACATACACGTGTGCGACAATATCGATCTGGAAACTATCATTCTTGAGTACATCGATTACCATTACGCCAAGTACAACAGATATCCCAAGTTGTGCAGGAAGGCGGAGCCAGGTAGCGTCGGAAACGTAGCTCAAAATACGTAAGGATGAATATTGACTGATTTACAGTTACAAGTACACTGCGATGTTGAGTTATAACTGAATATCGCGATAAAATTGATCTTTCGTAACAGCAACAAGAGAGATAGAGTTGACGGTAGCAACAATATTGGCAAAACTAAAGCCACGCAGAGACATGCCGCTTCAACGCTTCCGCGGAACGAGTTAAATCTCGATATCATGGTGACGCCGATCTTTCCCGCGGAAGAGCGCGCACAAGTGCCAATGTTTGACGACACTTGTACCAATGAAACTTTCAATTACGACGTACTGAAACCTATCGGTAATCTCTATCCACCCGGCTCTGAACTCAAGGAAATCGCAGATATTATGTCACGGGTGAAAAAATAGGAAATATTGTGACTTGAACAGAAATTATACTTGTCCTCCCTCTAATAAATACATGTATACAAATTACAGGAAATAGTGCAACAAAACTTGAATGTTCATTGGGACGACGTAAAAGGACTCAAGGATTGCAAGATGTTGTTGAAAGAAGCTATATTTTATCCGATGAAATATCCAAGCTTGTTTAATGGGAAACTCGGTTTTTGCAAAGGCGTATTATTATACGGTCCACCGGGAACTGGTACGTAATTATTTATATCGCCCACTGGTAAATTCACCAAGAAACTCACCCTCCAACAGGTAAGACGATGCTCGCGAAAGCAGTCGCTACCGAATGCCAATCGACCTTCTTTAACATCACTTCCAGCTCGGTTATCAGCAAATGGAGAGGCGATTCGGAGAAATATATTCGTGTAAGTCTAATAACTGATTACATGATAATAAGATAGTCTCAAAGATTCAAAATATGAATAAAATCCTACGGGATACTTTTCTCGAAATTTCTATTGATCTCAACAATGAATGACGGAAGTCTATTCTCGACACCTTTCTATCGTGAGAAATAATCCGATTCAAGTTTTAATATTATATATTTTTTATAAATTATATCTCCGTATCTATTACATCCTTTACTTGCGATAAAATTATGAAATAATCACTTTAATTAGCAAATTTGAACACATCCAAATAAAACAGAGGTGAAAAGGTCTTTGCCGACTTTAGGTGCTCACAGATCTTGCTAAGCATTATGCACCGACGATAATCTTTATCGATGAGATTGATTGGACGACCACAAAAAACGTAGACGATGCCTCATCGAGTTCGGAACCTGCTAGAAGATTTCGAGCGGAATTTCTCGCCAGATTGGACGGTTTATTATCAATGGAATACACAAATGTAGTATTGTTAGCAGCTACAAACGTGCCATGGTAAGTTATTTTTCAAGAGAAGACAATTTCATATTATTTTCTTACACCTTTTACGCGATGTTATATATTTTAGATCTTTTCAGGAATATAGACGTTGCCTTGTTACGACGTTTAGAAAAGCGGATTTTTGTGGATCTACCCGACGAAGCTAGTCGATTAGAAATATTGCAATCTTACGTGCACAATGATCTGTACAACTCGCCAGAGATGTTGCAAGTTGCGCGAGAAACTGCGGGATATTCTTGCGCAGATTTGAAATTGCTCTGCAAGGAAGCATGGATCAATCAATTGCGACCTATTTGGGCGAGTCTTGAGGCTAAAAGAACCTCTGTGAAAGATATTCAAACCGATGGTTTCATCAGTGCAATTGAACACATTGCCCTTGCTAAGTCCAGGATAAAACCGATTGCCAAGCATATGAGCGTGCAATATATAGAATGGCATAAAGAATTTGGTTTTTCAAAATAATTAACTATCATTAATATAGAACGCACGCACAATTATATATTCATTAAGTATATTCAAACATTATAGATTAGCTTTTTTTCTGCAAAATAATGATATTTGAAATACTTGTAAAATATATATTAATTTGTTTAAACTTGATACTAATTCTAATAGGATTATAGTGTTTGAATGAATGAAAATATAACAAGTGTGTATGAATATATGTATGTATATTCTTATCTCATACATATGTATATCATATCTTTCCAGGTTTCCTTACTTTTTTTACCATCTAAAAGTATTATGTAATACAAGCCTAAGCTTTTATTGATTTCCAATGTATTAATTAATACAATAGGTAAACGTAAAAATGATGGATAAATTATTATTTTCATACAAAGACTACTGATAGTTTTTTCTTTTTTGCTGATTAATTTTAGCCTGTTTTAACCCATGATAATAACCTATATGAAAAAATGCACGATATTATACCATTGTTAAGACATATTAAATAGATAAAAAAACATGACATACTTGATTAGTATCGTAAAAATTACCTGTGTGAAATCCACTTATATACCACGACATCAACATACTAGATAATGCATCTGCATCGGTTTCGGGCAACTTGGCCATTAGTGGTGGTAAGGGCGGTGCGGGTGGCATCGTGTCTATCGCTGGATTGAAACGTTCAAATCCAGGCATGAAATTCTTTTTAAATGACCTGGGATCCTCTGTATCATAATCCATTCTTTCGCCATTCATCTGTTTGGAATCCTGTACACTAGGAATATAGATGGGGGTGTCGGAATCTACTCTTTCATCAACCTTTCCTTTCAACGCATTCTTCTGCTGGGCGATTTGACTTTGCAATCCTTCAGATTCGAGAAGTGAATTTACTTGTACCGTTTCTATATTCTGATATCCTGCGAATATAACGAAAATATTGTGTTCAAGTTACTCGTCATGAGTGTAATAATGTTATATATTACCAACAAATTTCACTGTACACATGCCAGAATTTGGATCAACATGCGATACAATGGCTTCGTATAGTTGTCCATCCGCAGGATATACAGCACGGCATGGAGCGCCAACAATCCACTTCTATAATACAGCGGTAAAAAGTGCTAGTTTGGTTGCTTTGGTAAAGCATAAATAGAAATGTACCTTGAAAGGCTTTTTTGTGTGACTCGAATAATTGGAATTCTTTGGCTTTTGTTTAATCTGCCGGTCCTGAGTGTCCATGGCGATACGCTTTGCTACTTCCTCCTTGGCCAAGTTTACAGCTCTATCGTACGCTTGTATCAATGCAGAGTCGTCCCAAACATCTTCTTCGTCACTTTTCTACAAGTGGTTAGAATTTCTATATCTTTTACAGAACTGCATTCAAGAAGTGCAGAAATAAAGACGTCATCTTACGTACATTGCCGTTCCCTCTTACAAACAGTACATTACTTTCTTCGGCCATAATGTCAGATAAACAATTACAATCGTCTCGTCTGGTCGGGACTGTCGGGAGTGGAACAGAGAGCTACCAGTGCTGCCACGGACTTGGGTGATTCTTCAATACGAACCTCTGTGGATATTGGCTCTGACGGTATCAACGCCAGCTTGGAAAAACAGTGGCTGGTATACATCTTTGAAAACTTGATAGATGAAAACTCGAAATGTCGATAAACTCTTTATTATAAATCACATCTTTCGCTTATATATACATTATACTCAATGAAATAAGAGAGAAATTGTTGTGTGCAAGACAAAAGAGGGTAAAATCTAATTGGAGATATTTATGATCTTTCGAATAAGAGATCCATGCCCTTGTTATTGCCGCAGCTAGGAAAGTCGATGGGTACAAGCGGCAAGTTTCGCCGAGAACCTACTCTCATTAGAAATTGCATTCCAGGGCCGAGTAGCGGAGGATATAAAGCGGTACTTCTCGCTTCCCACAGCCAATATCCTGGTAAGTAGACGTAGATGTAGCAGACTCATTTCTAGCGAGGACAGATCTAAAATCTCTTTACCTAAATTGTCGGTGTAGAAGCGAAGAATAATGTAACCTTTATTTGGTATGACAAAAGTATCTTTTCGCGCTGGATTGACCAGATTTCGACGTAGCTTCCCACTCAGGTCCAAAGATACAATTTCATCTTTGGTAACAGACCGCTCGAAACTCTCTCGGCCAATAATACTGGCATTGTAACCATGCAAATGAAACGTGTAAGACGCATTGCCTCCAAAGCCTAGGAAAGATATATCTCATTCTTTTAGCATATCATTGAAAGAATACTTGGACAATTACCTTGGTTTATTAATATCATTTCGATTGTTTTTCGCGGTGGAACTTGGAGCAATTGCAGACACTCGCAAAATAACGGTGTCGCGGCACATTCGCTAGACCGTTCGTCGAGGGAGCAGACCGACTTCTCCAAGGTATTTTCTGGCTGCGATAGTATCGGAGATGGCGGATACTTGAAAGACATGCCGTTGATCTGCGCTATTCCTATCGCGCCTTTCTTTACACCTGAAATTTCTCTCGGTATAATATATCATTATGGACTCGACGAGTGCAAAACTCATCTAAACATTTTTCTTACTCAAGTAAGCTGGATAATATTGCGGCGTGTAAAATTTGTAGGAATAGTCCGTCATCTCGTCCGTAAAGAACGCCAAAGTGTTTGTGTCGAAGGGCACGTAGATGGTTTCATCCGCTTTTTCTTCCAATTCCGGCACTTTCGACAGACTCTTGAGGTCCAAAGAACAAATGACCTTTTCCGATATTCTATGACAGTGATGGCCACTTTCGGCAATTTTCAACGACTCTTCGTCCAAGTTGTCCGCAGTCCTTATCGCGCGTGAATCCAGTTTGGCGTCTTTGTACAAAATATATGCCTCTTGACGTAAATTGCGACATTCTCCAAGACCCTGAATATCGAGGACGTACTTGCCGATTGCTCCTTCAGCCGTTAGAACGCCGTCGAGTCTTTCGCCTGAAAACAAATCCCATGTAGTTTTATCATCGAATCGAAATCGAACGCAGCTAAAGCAACCTCGAAGGCGCCGCGCTTTAATGGTAACAACGACCAATTAACGCTATCATTTTTATTGAACAAAAATGTACAAATTTCAACACGTGTATATATACAATATATGTATATAAAATATAAGGTTTACCTAAAAAATATATCGAAATCATTGCGGAGGCTATGAATTTAATTAACGTGAGTTTCGCTACAAACGATGAAGAATACTCGAATCGACCAGCAATAACAACAAATTGTTTCCAAGTCGCGGATTGTTGGTTTTACTTGGAATTTTTCCAAGTTGATACTCAAATCTCCCTATTCACATTTTCACTATACTAGTATTAATCTTTGAAGAAAGTTGTGATATCGCTTCGCAAGCAGTTGAAGGGGATCTTATGTATTTGAAACAATAGAACGTCGACATACTGTTAAATCGATACAAGTATTATAATGTATGTTTGATTCGCTAGGTATAATAATTCACTTTCGTATTTATAGATCAAAGAGGGAAATTACACAGGTCTGCAAGGTTATCATGTTAATGGAATGAAACCAAGTGCGCTTTATGTAATTTTGCTCACTGAATTCGAATCTGGCCTCCGTTTTCTCCCATCACGTCAGAATTTTTAGATATGACCCATCTTTTATCTTGAGCAAATAACGGAAAAATACTACTTATTTTCAGCGGTACATTTAATTAACGAAAAAGCACCAAAAAAAAAAATGAAAAGTGATACGAGTGCTGCTTTCGCGACCGTGAGTAAGATGAACACAGGTTGGCGACTTTCGCTCGATTCAGACCGTTTTTTTGCGAGCTGTTAACCGAAAAGGTGAGTCAGCGAAACTAAACGAAAAGTAAATAAAAAAAACAGCGACAAACTCTAGTCAACCTCAATAACAGATAATATTCCTCATAAAAGGAAGAAGTAATGTAAAACAAACGGAACGTGATTGAACTTGAAAAACTGAGTAGAAAACATGTGTCATGATACCCTTTACTCTATCAGTTACAAAATGCCTTTGCGTTTTTTTGCTTAAGATAAAAATGGGTCATAATCAAGTGCACTTGGTTTCATTCCATTAACATGAAATTGTTGAAAATTTCTAGACCTGTACGTTATGTATCGTTAGAGGCTAATCAGATCTTGGGTTATCGTGGACATTGAAAGTCTTAACGTTAAAGACTAACTATTTACTGATCTACATCGAGTTATCAACGATTAGTATTGCGCTTTGAGGAAATTGAAATAGTTGCGTCTATCCGCATCTGTACTTGTGTGTAGTAACACGCATTATCCTCGTGGTTAGAAACCAAAAGTCTCTCGTCTCCATTCGCATTAATGTCTCACCGCATTAGCGCTGCGTTCGAAATGATATTGGGAATCATAGAGAATAAAGTCATTTCAATTAATCAATGGAATAGCTTGATCGTATCAGCGGCTCTTCTGTCGAACGCACACATACGCATAAAGACAAGTAGAATGAAAATCCGTACAGTCTTGATTATCGAGTCAGTCTTTAGAGCGTCCGGCTGGTAATACGACACATTCGGATTGGCCTTTCGTATTGCACACGCGTCATCACGTTTGAGTCCTCGAATAACTTGACATAATAACTGAAAGAATATCGTCCGAAAGAGTTGTTGGAAATGCAAGATTTTTCTTTCTTTTCGCTGCGGCACTCGATAGATAGCGTCATTAGCGATGCGTTTGCGCGTAAATTCCGATCTCTGCCTCGAAGAGGATTTGGTTGATCCTGAGTTTGGCGACCGACCTCGAGTACGAGTCTGGGATTTCGGCGAGCTGCACGGCGATACTCTCGCCAAACTTGGCAAACTCCTCCTTGGTTCTTTTTCGCTCTTTCGCGTCCGGTGCGCGAGCTTCAAGTTTCATCTGTCCGGATTCGTCGAGATCGGCCGGTGAACTGTGCTGGCTCGGCAAAGAACCATTGTACAGCTCCATTGCCTTCAGACTGGACGACGAGGACTCTTCGGCGTCCTCGCTCAGCGAAGCGTTGAAGGAACCGCTACCGGAGCCGTTTGTCTCTTCGTTGCAATTCATGAATGTTATACTTTCTGGATCGATGTCGCTCACGAGATACTCTTCTTGTAGTTTCGGTTCCTCTTCAACTTTCTGCGAAAAGGGATCAGGTTGGATCAGGAATTTCATCTTTCTATCGCTCTGGTACAGGTATATAAGAGCGATAAAAAGAACTCGTGCGCTTTTCTCCTTGTCTCATCGTCAGTTTTCTCTCTCTCTCTCTCTCTCTCAAAGTAACGCCTTTGACTAATTACTCGACTAATGCACAATCGAATTAGGAGCGTATCCAATCGTATCGCGTTCGCACGACTCGATCCCAATCTCACGCTCCGATCTCCGAGGGAGAGAGAGAGAGAGAGAGAGACTTTCACGCGTATTGATTTTCTCTCGTGAAACTTGGGAATCTCTCATCGCTACGATAAAAGTGCTCGTATTGTGTACGTATGTTATTCGAATCAAGTTTTCGAGGGATTTCGTGCATGCATGCAAATTGAATGAAATGAGAAAACCAAGTGGACGTGAGACGCGTCGCCACGGGCCAATGGAATATTTATCTCGACCAGCGACGCGTACAGGGGGCTCGAGATCCCAGTTCATTATTCCTCGTCGCGAAGCACTATTACAGCCGAGTATCTTCGAATGATGGAGGTTTCAATTCTTCCTTGCAAATTTATACAAGTATCTACGTTTAGAATTTGGCCATGTGATATAATTACGAGAGGTGATTCTACCTTCTTCCGTTTGCTGTATCTACGCGTGCCGAATTGTAGGAACTGCATGGCTTTGAAGGCGAACCACTTGGAGACGTACACGTCGTCCGGACCGGTGGCAGCTTCGCGGCTGTTTTGTATCTTGTGCACCTCCCGAGAGTATTGGCATTTGAGATTGGTGATCTTCTTCTCGACCTCGAGAGTGTTGCAGGAGAGAATTTCGGCCAACTCCTGGATGGCTCGCTTGCGCTTCGCACGGTCCCGATAGCCTCGGGCGTTCCAGTCCCAGAGGACGCGTCGCTGTTGATACTCGCGTAGCAGCTCGAGGGTCTTGTCGCGGGTCCACTCCATACCGGCGCGCGTGCCACTGGCACCGCTGCTGCCGAAACCGTCCCAAAGCCCGTGCTGGCTGTACATGAGGGATTCTCACCTCAGGGTGAGACGTTGAGCAGGGAGCCTGCCTGGAGCGCGCGCGCGCGCGCGCGCTAGCCCTCTCGCTAATAAATCACGGCGGGCCGGAATCAACGCGTGGGCCGCAGTCGCGAAACGAGCACGCGTTTTAATGATTTTTGCACGGGGCTCGCGCGCGCTTCTCGCTTCGCCTTCCTTTCTTTATTTCTCTTTGCGGATACCCCGCCGGGAGGACGAAGACGGCCGAGTCTGCGCGAACGTTCGCGCTCGTCCACATCCTCTCACATCCACGTTATCCGATATCGGAGCCTGTTAATGTCGTTGTCGCCGTCGACGCTAGACGGCAACGGGGAGGGAAGGAGGGATTTCCCTCGAGCTCTTCACATTCTTCTCGCTCCTCGTTAAACCACGTCCAGCATTTTTCCAAATTTTCATCCTCGTGCAATAATGCGATTGGAGCATGTGCGAGAGATCGATTGGAATCAACGACGCGGGGACAAAGCGCGTATGCGCTCCATTTCATCTCTTTGAGGCGCCAGAATATCTTTGGTACCGTACTCGTAAAATCTACAGTCCTACTTGGAATAGCTCGTTTGCAGCACGTGCGATATATAAAATATATACGTGCGCTGGGTGGATCCTTCCTTTTCTTTTACTGGTTGAAAAAAATGGTTGCTCTCGCAACCAAGTAACAGCAACAACTCGACTGAAAATGTAAACGTACCTGGGAATAGAACGACACGCGTGGCCGTCATCGATTGCACAGGGTTGCCGTCAGCAGCGAGTATTCGAAGCGAATGCCCATGGACGGACAGTAAGATGGGGCAATCGTGAGCGTTTGCATTAATGAGGCGTAGCAAATAGCGAGATTCACGCTCGACCCGCACGAGTACCTGACGCGCCTAGAAAAAATGAATGAAATACGAAATTGTAAATTTGAAGATGTGGCCTCGGAGTCCTGTGTCTGGATATACCTGGCCGTTTACGAGGAGCTCGCCCGGCGTAGGTGGCTCGAGGCTCGCGTGCCGCGTCAGCGGAGTCGCCGGCCTCGACGACAGGACGAGCGTCCTTTCCAGACCGAGGTCCTCGTCCCATGCTCCTCGTACTGTCAACGACCCGTACACCCCGTCGCCCTGCTGCAAGACTAATGGTCTCCATTTTATTTCTCTCACTCGTAAGGTTCTACGCGCGAGATTCTACGCGCTCTCGACTGATCGCGGGTTGCGAGTTACGCAATTTATACAATTTTCAAGAGTAGACTTGATTCGCGCGAGAGAAGCGGACGATTCCTGCTCTCTTTCGAGACCACGGACGTTATCGATCCTGCTTCTCTTGATGCGCGAGCGCCGGGTAGAACGGGCTTCTACGGCGTAGACGGCCGAGTCAAAATCGGGCGAGTCGACTCGCAACCGTGACAATTGGAGTTTGCGCACAATTTCTCCTCCGATTTTCCTTTTTGCTACCTATGCGACCTATCGCGTGCTAATAGGTAGACTTGTTAACAGAGTTGACCCGTACCGGTCAATGTATTACGATCGTTTCGCTAAATTTTATCTCACGGACTGCGTAATCCCTTGTACTATTTGTTATATACCGTTATATTTCGTTACCTGAATGAGCATGGTAAAAGTACGTTCCCGTGCTCTCGGGGTTTATCTTGTAGCGAAAGCCACTGAAGGGCAAAATAGGACACTGCGTTATCATAGGCACCCCATCCATGTGATTCGAGTCCTTTTGCCGGATTCCGTGCCAGTGGAAAGCCAGCTCGTCGCTTCCCAACTTGTTGTGAACGAGAACCTCTAGCGTGTCACCGAGACATATCTATCACACGTAACACGATTAGGATAGTTGCTCAGTTGCATTATATGCTCAATACTCACTTGTATAGCTGGTCCCGGACTTTTCCCGTTAATCGCCAAAAGGCTCTTTCCCACGGTAGCATTCGCGCACTCGCGAAAGCTCTCACCTTTGCTCTCGTTCAATCCCTTGTAGAAACTGCCAATTATCAAATTAAGAGTGCATTCAATTATTTCTCTCTCTTCTACCAGATCTCGTAGAAACTTTTACCTCTTTTCTTTTTTCTTTTATCATTATCTATATTAATACAATCGAAAGCGCCGCATAGATCATTAAAAGCCTTTACACGCGAGCATCGAGTGAAATTTTAGATTAAATCTAGATGTTGGAATATGTTGAAACGATCGAAAGAAATTTCAGAGTCGATGGGAAAGCGCGACAAAGTTTATCCGGCCATTATCAGCCGCTTCCGGCGAACACGTAACACACGTGTATGTAATTGTATGGGTAATCGAGCGGTATCTCAAACCCAACAGGTTGCACGAGTCGCGACCCGACACCGCGAATCCGCTGCATTTTCGGAATCGGAAGAGACGACAACGCTTTCTTCCTTTGTATTCTGATCGTGCCTATTTTCAATAACACATTTGGATCTCGCTTCTTATTAAAAAATTTTATCAGCCCATCCAAGAATTTACAAATAAATTCAAATCATTGCTTTGTAAAAAAAAAATACACAACTTGTAACTTTTGTTAGCTCACCTTGTTGCACCGTGCGATTCCGTGATAAAGAAATGATAGACGCACGTTTTTCTCAAAGATGACTCGTCGGAGCAAGGACGCGCACATTCGTGATAACCGTCTAATTTTTCTTAAAGAGAAAATTGTTTAGTAGTCCAGTAACCATTTTACTTTTGCAGAATAAAAAAAAATATATATATATCAGGGAATGGACGGTAATTTCACACTCACCAACAGTCTCAAGAGTCACCGAAATTGAATAGGAAATGAATATGAAAACTATAATGCAATGACAAAGGCACGACATGGTGGCCCAGAATATCTGGGTTGATCGGACACGTACACGTACATAAGTTTGAGCGATCCTGTGCGAATCTAAGCCGACGACCGACTCGGTGCGGTAAGCGGCTTTGCACTTGCAGGCAGTAGCTATGGAAGTGGACATGGGTGAAAGCAAGGCCTAGGCTACGCTATAAAGTAGTACAATTCGGGGAAAGCCTGCTTCTTACTTGTTCTTTTCACAAAGGTGCATTCGTTACGTCACGCTCGCGTAAACAGCTTTATCGCGTTTACATCATTCAACAAATAACAACGTGCATCAATTTTCGAAATGAGAAGAGAGATCGGTTCTTTCTTCTTTCCAGCAAATCAAACAAGTTGACGAAAGTCAATGTCCATGGTAAGAGATTTTTATTTACACATAAACTTGCAACTATATCTAAGTAATACTTGTATGGCCTATATTAGTCGCATGTGTGCGCGCGCTCGCAAAACTTACTTTTAATTAAAGTTCGAAGAAATTCTTAGTGTTTACACTATTTACCTGGTTAAATTAAGATTGGCTTTGTAACACTTTAAACTGCACAGTGGTACTCCAGTTTTCGAACACGAATATCTCTTGAGATTTTTACACTCTTTTATCCCGCAGAGGATTTGTTTTGGCGGGCTTTTCCTGAAACGTAGAATTGGCAAGAATTAACGTCACTACAGGTAATATTACAGGTAATAGTACAGGTAATAATACAGGTAATAATAAAGAATTTTGTCATACTCTCTGGCAGGAGAAAGTGGAAAATTTTCACCGGGCGGAAAAGATATAGAACTTCCTTCGATCGTTAAACGATACGTTACTAACGGTACTTGTCGCTTGGATAGTTTTCCCTTGCTGATAACTTTGGACGCTTTAGATTCTTGTTTCTTAAGCAATCTTTCCATTGTCTTTTTCTTATCCTTTTCTCTCTTTTCATCCGCGAGCTGTTTCCGTTTCAGAGACTTTAGAGCAGCCTTCTGTATAGCTTCCGCAGTCATGACTTTTTCTTTGTAACCAGTAGGTAAGGACATTAGTTGTTCGACACCTGGATTCGGCTCCGTGTCGGTTTTCCTTTCAAACATTGCCCTCTGTCGTGCTGTCATTAGCTTGGGATCTTTTGGCTTAATTTTTTTCAATTCGTCGTCAACCTACGACAAAAGGTATTTCATTTCATTATTTCTCATTAGCAAATGTTAGACGTATACTAAACATTTGAGGAAAAATACCTCCTCCAGTTTACCAGATTCGATAGCGTCGAGCCATCTTTCTTCCTCGCTGCTGGTCCCACTATCTTTGCCTCTGTTACCTTTGGGAATTTTTTTCTTCGTAGTTGCTTTTGGAGACGGTGCAGTGCTTATCGTAGCTGTGTTGAAAGCGCACGTCTTCAATACCTTTTCACGTTTATCCAAACTGGAAAATAATTTTGTACAATTCTTGGCCATCTCTGGCCGTCACTCGGACAACAGTCCATCCGACATTATATATGGTATATAAGATACCTCCGTTCATCTTCCTTTTTCATTTTGATTCTGAAGCTCTTCTTCCGATCAGCGTCGCTTGAAATTTCGACAAAGGCGTCGCTGTCGTCATGCATGAGCTTCTTCTTCTTGTGCTTTTTATGTTTATGTTTCTTATGCCGTTTCTGCGGCGAGACATCGCTTGTATCTGAAAATACAATTGATATAAAGAATCTCTCAAAGTAGATAATTGCGTAGAAAATTACCTAAATTGATCTCCTCTTCCGTACCCACGTCTCTTGGCTTACCCATTTGATTTCACACTCAAGATTGGATGTAATTTTAGGATGTAAGGAAATCACTCGGAAGTTTAGCAAGGTTAGGAAATTTGTCGTAATTTTGCGTTTAGCAAAACATGCAGTGGTCAGGTCAGCTGCCAGGTCAGCTGCCAGGCCAGCAGTGTCACGGTGTCGGTGTGCACTCGCCGAGTGCAGAACTTTGCCGCAATCGCATCGTCACACATTCGCGGACGCGTCGTTTCATCGTTAAGATCGTTAATCACAGCAAAAATATTGCTATCACAGACAAGGATTTACTTCAACGAAAGACCATTTTTATTTTATGTGAAAAATGGGTAAGGAGAATGAATCGGATAATGCGAAAAAAAGGAGGAAGTCTGTAAATACAAGTAGCGGAACAGCGTCGATGAAAGACGGAGATATATACAAGGTAGAAACTTGTTTGTTTTTCATTTCATTTTTCAATTACAGGAAAGATCCTATACATTTTCGCTATTATCGCTTCAGATCTCTCACTTTTCAAAGATGCGCCGAGAGTATGTAGTACATGTTCGTTAACACTTTAGGTTAGGTTAAGTTGCTTTCGATTACGAGTGAAATTACCATTAGATTTTTTCCCCCTTTCTGCCTCCGTCAACTCTGTTCAACTCCGTTCAACTCCGTTCAACTCCGTTCAATTCCGTTCAACTTTTGTCTCGTCTCAGACAATAATCAGTTACGAAGAGAAGGAAGCTATCGAGAGATCGTCCGAGGATGATTCCGAATGCTTTTTGCTAACTTGCGACGATATTCGAGCAGCGATGACGAAAATAGCTAAATTGAAATCCAGTGGGGACTCTAATGTTTGTAACGTTTATGCAATTACTATGCCAACTTTCGTATTGCCTGAAACTTATCGAATCGTACGTTTTAGGTCAAGGATGAGATTCGCGAGCTGCAAATTCAAACGTCCTTGGCTTTTATAGAACTAAAGAAACTAAATCGCATGGAAAAGTTCCGTACCAAATCTGCACGTGACTCTCTAGTGGCTGCAAAGTGTAGCGTCGATAGCAGACATCTGCACTTACAGAATCTATTGTACGAAGTGATGCATTTGAAGAAGGAAGTCATTAAATGTCTTCAATTCAAGTAATTTCCTTAATCTTTCCGCAAAATCTCTCTTTCAACCATCAAGTTCAACCATCAAATTTCATTTCTTTCAGATCCAAAGATGAATTGATAGAACTCGTTTCGGAAGAGGAATTTTATAAAGACGCTCCAGAAAGTATCTCGCGACCTGTATGTAAAGAAACACAAGTTTTGTACAATAACAAATTGACTTTTTTCTTTGCAATGCATATATGTATCTTAGGAAGTAACAAAGAGTAATCCTCATCAATTGAGACTGGCTCGTTTGGAATGGGAATTGACGCAGCGAAAGCAACTGGCGGCATTGTGCGACGAATTGACGGAGAGTAAAAAGGCCGTAGCGTCGAGTATCGAAACGAAACAGACTCGCTTGGACAATCTTGCGCCACAACTGCGATCTATATTGGAAGTAAGAAATAGTGTACAAAGTATTCCTGTACAATTGGGGCGTGCCTACTAAACGTAATTCTCATATGCTCAGGCGAGCAAACCGCTACAAGAGAGCCTTGGACTGCCGTTGGACAAGATTCGCCAGGAGCATCAAAAGGCTTCGTTACTTGCGTCGCCTCTCTATGTCTTGTATGCCAAGGCTTCTGCTTACAGGGATGCTTACGGTATTATTTATTCACATAAACATTGCGAAAATACATTTCTGCGATCTGCGATTGTGATATGGAAAATATCTTGTAGACAGTACATTGTTAGTCAAAGTGGAAGGAGACGAGGATGAAGCAAGACGCGCAAACAACCATGACGGTTTACAAGACTCTGACTCAGATCTTGAGAATCAGTCGGAGAGTCTCGTGGAAGAAATGCCTGTGCATAAGAAAAGACATCACAGAATATCCCGGGAAGCCAGACAAGAAGAGAAGCGGTCCAAGTTATTGCAGCGACATCCGTTGCACGTCAAAATAGTTATCACGTTAAAAAGTGAGATGTACAACAATCTACAGAAATGATCTGTACAGCATTCCTATATCCTATATCCATTTCTTTAGCTAAATACTTTTCGAACATGTATATTAAACAAGAAGGCTTGGTGTGCGCACTATGCAACCCTTCCACTTTAATTCAACTTTTTAACATCTTGAGAGAGGGGAGGGAAATTTTATTGCGAAATTTAACTTTTCAGACGAGACGAGGCTGACGCTTCACTTTTATTACATGATACATTTAAAGGTAGTCACGGTAGAATCGAAACTCGAAACGGAAGACTTGGGAGGTATTAGTGCTGGGTATGTAAAATTGAAAAGATTGAAAATCTTTTCTTTGCCTTGCTAAATTTGAGATAAGCTTTTCAAGTCGTCATTTTATTAACAGAGACATGCTAGTTTCCGAGTCGGTTCTTCGCGAATTGTACCCACGGGATTTAGGATTGGAGAGTCCAAATCCCGCCAATCAGTATCAGCTGTCGCGGCATAACTTGGGATCCTTTTCATCTTTGGGACTAGGCGTCCCTTATAGATGGGCCCAAAGAATGGCTGGTCTACACTTTGTCGCGTGCGACGTGAGCGAACAGCAACAAAAGGTAGGCAATTTTTTGTTTTGCAGAGAAATTATTAAGACACCAATCTCTTCCGGCCAGCAATAGTTGCCATCATTTTCATTTGTAGCATACAAGTCAAGAATTGGCACAAGACTGTGTGGAGAGTGTGTTAAAGGAGATTAAACGGCGCATAAAAGCGAGGCTGGACCTATGTATGGAAATACGGCAACTAGAATCCGGCAATCTGCCAATCTTTATTAGTACGACGGATCCCGTGCCGCAGAAAATCTCAACGTCATTGCATCGATTCACGACTATGACCTGGAAAAGTTACTCGAATTACGTCGCTTCGCCGGAATTTTATCAACGAGGATTAGTGCTGTCCGTAGACATATTTTACGAGGCTGTACTTCGTCGTGGCAGTAGCGAACTCGTCGCCAGGATCGCTATCAAACCAGACTACCCAAAGATAGCACCGGTATTTAGCATAAGCGTCAGTCCAACGGTGCCGGCGTCTGCCGATATCATCAGAGATATCGAGAGGGAAGTCAACGTCATGTGGACCAAGTCCCCGACGTTGACGGCGCAGATACAACGGCTGAGAGCATGCTTCGACATTTATCTAGAGACTGAGAGTATGGCGCCGAAGGAAAAGATATTCTTCTACCCTGTACGAGGACGCACTCGCGCTCGACCGTACAAATATTTGTCGTTGGGAGGAGGCATATTCACTCATCGTTGAAATTTAATAAATTATCCATCATCCACAATTATTCTTTTCAATTATTTAACGTTTTATTTTTAAGGATTCATTTTAATTTTTCAATTTAAACGATATCTCTTTTCTCTTATCGATTTATTCCAAGTAAATCTATTTATTATACAGGAATAGATGTAAGTGGCCGTGCAGCTGGAACTCTAGAAACAGTTAAGAGATATGTGCGCAGGGTGTTTCTCAATTGTTTGTTTTCGAAAGACAGCTTGTCGCATTCCTTTTTCATGAGGAAATTATCCGATTTAATGTGGTTGAACAGTGCCCAAAACCTGTCCAGTTTGTCAAACGGTTCCGACATCTGCAAATAGTCTTGTCTAATAAAACTGGGAATATTGTTTCGCACTCGAAACCTATGTATACCTACGCAACTCGTGAAAGCTCTTCTGGAACCTGTATCGCGTAAAGTGTACTTTTCTACAGTCAGCGAGAACGGCTCCAAATTTGAACACATTTTCAGCAAGGACAGTAACGCCGAACCTTTTTCTGAAGTCCTCTGTAGTTCCTGCAAACCAAACAAGTATTTAATGCTCTTTTAAATATTCAATCCAATTTGAGATAATTGATAATTTTACTTTCAGAACGCTAGCGCTAATGATTGTCAATTTCTTGAGCTGGGTAGTGTCGAGCACTTGATTCATGGAAAATATCTGTCTGAAACCTGACATTTTCTTCCTCATACGCACAATCCTATCGTTCAGTTCGTTTATACTCTGCTGCCTTTTCTGCGACAACGTATGCGTGTCCTGCTTCAGGCTCTTAATCATGCTTTGTAACTGTGTTTGCAACTTTGGATAGTGCGCCACGTCTGCACGATGAGCGTCATCTTGCTCCTTCAAGTACTCGTACTGTTTTCTCTTGTCTCCTGTATCTTTCTCGTATTTGACTATCGTTTCGTTAAGCTGTCGCCACAATTGTTCGACCTCACTGGAAACGTAATGCACCAAACGCGACAACGAGTCTTCCTTCTGAAGTATTTTCAATCGCGAAAGAATGATTAATTGATTGATTAATATCTGTCGTACATAAAATACAAAGGTGAGCAAAATATCCTTACCAAATATACGATGCCACAAGTATTAACGGCATTCTGGATTTTCGTTTGCGTCAATACACTTTCTATTCCCTTGTCTTGGCCAAAAATTATATTGTGCAATTGATGGCAGTGCTCTTCCAAATTCTTTCGTATTCTACTTAATTCGTTGGTCTCGTTCGAAACGACAAGGTTGCGTTCGTGTGCGAAGGACTCGTGCAGATGGACGCATTTCTCCTTGTATCTTCCTATATTAATAATTGTAATAATAGCTGTACGATAGTATGGGTTTACAAAGAGACACGAGCTAGCTACCAATTGTTAGGTCCATCATTTGAACGTGGGCCTCTTGTAGTCTTCTGTGATCCACATCGGCTGCTTCGAGCTCGCTATGTAAACGCCGTATCACGAGATCTTTCGTCTTGGTCAGACGATCGAAATTATTCCAAAGATATTTCACATCTTCGTAAAGTTGTTTGCATTTTATTCGTCGTAAAATATATCGCCATTGTTCATTGATCTTGGCAGTGTTTAATCGCGAGAACGCTTCCTCGTGTTTCAGCTTGTTCTACTTTTCGACATTGGTTCGTTACAAAATTGTATTACATTTCTACTTTGTTTTACTTTTGCTGGATATACCTTGGTAAAAGCTGCAATTAACTGTTGCTTACGACGTTTGGCCTCTAGCTCCAATTCGGCTCGGTGCTGCAAGTAGCGAGCGCGTTCCTCGTCGCTCATGCGAGCCAACTTGCTTCCCTTTCCCTTCTTTTTCTTCGGCATATTTCTCGGCGAATAAAAAGTTTTATACCGTTGCAAATTACTCGTCAAATTGTTTATTCTTAACAAGATACAACTGTTTCATTCGGAATACAGGGCTATAGCAACAGTAAAACTGTTGAGGTCAGCTCCACATGGAGCATGTGTTTGATCAATAACAGACTTGGTACGCGTACGAATATATTATATAATATGTTGTAGTATTTTATATGTAAATATATAAAAACTGCATCTCATTTCAATTGCATCAATTCGACTCGAATAAAATATTACGGAATTTTTATTACATTTTACAAAAATATTTCAACATGATTAACTACTTAAATACTTGGTATTAAATCTTATCTTACTCTATGATAATACGTTCTGTGAGAGAAAAAATATACATGTATATGACATTTATATACGTGTCAGGTGGAAATATTGACCACGAGATAAAGATGACATTCTCGAGATAATGAGGAATGGAAATTTGCGTATACAAACTTTGTACATGCAATGCTAAATACTTTTTGGCTAAGATCGCGAATGAAGCAAGGCATTAAGGAACTATCGAATTCGAAGCTCGCATAGAATTATCTCGCATTCGTCGCGAAAACACAACATAACGTACAGTAGATTCTATAGGCTCTTTGTGTTACTCTATTTGGTGGAAGACTTAAATGCATTTCAGGTGTCGATCTTTTAGTCGCTCTGTCATATATTCTTCTGCAATGTCATAGGTCTGCTGTCAATTTTCTCTACAGACAACGGCCGCTCTTTCGTAGTGGGTATAAAGCTCTGAGTACGTCGAATCCTCTCGCCTCCTCTCAAGGGACGCGTCACGATTTGTGTCTCTAGTAAAAGTTGAGCCTCCTCGGCACGTTTCACCTTTTCGCGCGCAGTGCGCAACTCGGAATCCAATTGCTCCCTCTCCGCTTCCAGCTGTTGGAGTCGTAGTTCGGCGTCTGAATGCAAATTAAAAGTCTGGAGAAATTCAAACGATAGAAATCAAGATAAGGGTAAATAAAGTAACTCGTCTATGTACCTTGCAGCTGCTGCTCGTTCTTTTTCTGCATCCGTTCAAATTCCATTCTCTTCATCTTCTCCATCTCCAGCAATTCCTGTTGCTCCTGCTGCAATCTTTCCAATTGTTCTCTCTTTTCCCATTCTTCGCGCAATACTCTCGCTTGTAAATTTCGCACTGCAACATTTGCGTATATTTAAATTGTACTAGAAGAGTTAGGAAAAAGGCGCGACGCGCGATAAAAATGAAATACAACGTTACCTATTTCCTCGTCACGTAGAGCCTGTTTTTCTTCTTGCAGCAGTAATTCTAGCTTTTGTTTGACATCTTCCAGTTGTTGAACCTTAGCACCTTCCTCCTTGGACAGAGTTTCCAATTTCCGAGCTTGTATCTCGGCAGCGATTCTAGCCTGCCTTTCGTGTTGTAATTCCAGCTTGGTCTCCTCTCTCTCCTGTTTAGTAGCCTGGCGGGCAGCGACACGTAGTTAAATAAGTAAATTAAAGACTTAATACACTCCTTTCTACTCACTTGTCGCGAGGATCTCCTTTGATTGGCCAAACTTCTCTGGTAGCCAATTTTCTCGCCCGAATGCTGAATCGCCGTTTGCAATGCCGCGAGCCACTGCAGTCTGCCTTTGTGATCCTCTGCCACTAGCTCTATGCATCTATGTTCGGGGGTGCTAAGCACGAACCTTCTATCGGGCTTTCCACCGTTGGTCAGAGTATCGGCCCAGCAATTGGCATTCAGCAGTATTAATCCGGACGGCTCTTTTTGCTGGGGATCTTTGTAATATGCCAATTCACCGGGACGTAGCACGAACCAAAAGTACCGTAACGTTGGCAGCAGAAAGCCTTTTTTCATCAAGTAGCCCTGCAGTAATGTTTGTCAAGAAAAAGTCCTCAAGTTGGTACATTAGAGAGATGAAACCTTTACCTTTTTCACTACATTCTCCACGTAAATCTGGTAGAGATCGTCTATCGCCTCCGTCAACGCTATAGCGTCCAATGTGTTACCGCCGCTATACTTGGATTCCAAAACCGCGAGAAAGGTGGAAAACCTTGGCAAAGAAACTTGTCGTAAGCAGATGGCATTGTTATCCTTGTAAGAGATTAGAAATAAGTTACCTAAATATCTCGATGGCCGCTGACAGAGCGGAGAAATCTGCCGCGTCCCACTGCAGACCCAAGGACATTACTAGATGGGAGGCGATTCGTGCTACCTCGTCGCTGTGCATTATTACCTGCGTGTGACGAAAGCTACACTCGGTCAGATATCCAATTGCAAACATTTCTTTACCAACCGTATAAGAATCCGTATCTGTATCCGACTCGGTCTCGGCCAGCAGACAGTAAATTCGGAACAACTGGTAAACACTGTGATCATCAAAGACCGGATGGGATCTCTCGAGGTAGAGCTTTTTACAAACTAGCCAGCAAATCTCATCTATCCCTTCTTCCAGTGCCTTCAACGTTTGGACAGAAGTAGCGTCGGTTATGGAGGAGAAGACCTATAGAGAATAAATGTTGAATTGGTTGCACTATCAAGTGTCATTGTGAATAGCGAAAGAAATGAGAGATGTTACTTCTTTCTGCAAATAATAGATGTACTGCTCGAACGTTAAACTCTGCGTACTCCGGTAATGCTCGAGACCTTTCTCAACGCCGTACAGATCCATGGTGGTACCGATGTTGGCCGTCAGTACCTGTCGACAGTATTATTATTATTAATAGTAGAAATATTATCGATCGAAAGGGGCTTTCTTCGAGTCGCCCTCACCTTCAACTTGGACTTGGCTACCGTGTTGCTGGCATCGTTGCTGGCCTGTAACGCGTGAAACGCATGCCAGATACTGTTGGTGAGGTTTTTCAGCAAGTGGGCCATCGCTGAATATCGCTTGGCCGGCGCGGCAACAGGTGTTGTTGTTGTTGCTCAGCTTGCTCTCCGACGGATATTCATCTGTCGCGCCTCGAGGAGCCAACGCATAATATTTATCTCTCGTCTCTAAATGTGTCTAAATGGCCGCTACGCGAATATTGATAGAAATGGCGTGTGTCTCTTCCTTCTCGCCACTCTCGCTAGTCACCCTTCCAACTTGCAACTGCTTGCAACTTGCGTTCAGCTCGTATGCCGCCTATCATTGCCAAGCCAAGGATGACGCATTACGCACACACGCGCACATGTATACTTGCACTTTCTACACTTGCCATAACCCATAACCAAGCGCCTTTGTTGCTTTCTTTCGTTACTTTCGTACCGTCAGCGGCCGGTCTGGTAGCAGTTGGAGTCGACATGTCAAAGTCGACGTCGACTCTTTTCTTCACTTTGCAACTTTGTCTCGTCGGAAATACAGTTGTGCTTGCTTCGATAGGTGACAAGTCGCAAGTATACAACCAATGTCTACAGCTGTGTCGCATTAACAACTGCATAGATGGTAATCATCTTTTGCGCTATATAGAAAACCTTCTTTTATCAAAGATCCAATGCAATTTTCAACTACACGATGCGTGTCTTGTAGAAACGGATTTTAAGCAACGGCCTTCTTTATCGTTAATCTTGTTACGCTGGTCTTGCAAGGAAGATTGCAGTTATATTTGCACATGGAGGACCGTTGACTACTTTGTATCTTATGGTTTCAAGATACCACAGTTTCATGGAAAAGTAAGCAAAACTTTTATTGTTATCTCTTCTGTCTCATGACACTTGTAATTATTCTCATCACAGTGGCCATTCATCCGGCTGTTTGGATGTCAAGAGCCGGCTTCGGTTCTATTCTCCATATTAAACTTTTCTGCTCACTGGATTATGTATCGAAAATTTAAAACAAGGATAGATCGATCCAATCCCATGTTCTACGCTTGGACGTATTTCAGTATTGTAAGTTCAGTCTTTCCAACATTTTTCACATTCAAATTATTCATTTTGCAAATTTCCCATTAATTTTTGGCAAGATTCAACTTTGTTGTAGATATGCCTAAACGGCTGGTTCTGGTCAACCGTATTTCATTCGCGGGACTGGCCATTTACAGAAGCTATGGATTATTCTTGTGCGTTTAGCATGGTACTTACACTCTTATACTGTATGCTTTTAAGGTAATAGGCATAATACTTTTTTTTTTCCCTACCTACATAAAAATTCACTTTAAATCTTGGTTTATTATTTTTAGGATAACGAACAAAACGAATAGAGCAACCGTTACAATAACTTGCGGGTATCTGGTCATTTTGTGTATGCATTTATCACATTTATGGTCAGGCAGAATTAATTATGGTTATAATATGATGCTTAATGTAGCGATGGGTAAGTTTTATCGCACATCTCACTGGAATACAACTCTATTGTAAAGCTGAACCTTTTGCGACTTTAGGCTTAACGACTGTCGCGATAACGATGCTGTGGTGGTACTTAAATCGTACAAAGTTGCCTTACGTCTACTTGATCGCTTGGTTCAACATATTGACTATTCTCGTGACTCTCCTCGAATTGGCAGATTTTCCTCCCCTTTTCTGGATATTTGATGCTCACTCCTTGTGGCATGCCAGCACAGTTCCCTTAACGATATTGTTATACAGGTAATTACACATATGCAGTTATATAATATTATAAACAATCATTGTATACTCTTCAATCATTAAAAACAATTACGTCCTTATCCATGTTCTACAGGTTTATGATCACAGATTGCCGTTATCTGAAAAGATACTACGACAAAACACTTTTAGATTCTGATTATCATAGGTGATTTTTTTTTAATAACGCATATTGCTGCCAGTCTATGACCTTCGTCCTGCACAACTTTGTCAATATTTCGGGTAAGATCAAAATACAAATATCAATTTCAATTTTCAGGTAGAATATTCCTAAATTTACAAATCAAAATATTACAGGAAATTTCTCACAAAACTAATTGTAAAAATTGCAGTCTTTTATTATACATATTTGACTTGTCGAGTGTATTTCGGTATTTTCTTTATTCTCAAATACAAGAGGTTTCATCGAAGAAATACAAACTGTATTTTAGAATAATAAAATTTTATTTCATTATTATTAATGAAATGCATATATGTCGAATCTATTCGTTACAGACAAATATAAAATTCATCGCATGTAACATTACTAAAAAAATTTTATATAAAATAATAATAAAATATAACTAGATATTAATAAAGAAAATTTTACATTTATAATTATACGTATATGTATATAAAACTTTGTTGTTTTCTCTCCTTTTTTAGGGCAGTATAACCTTTGCAGAAAATATGCAGATTTAACAGTCCATTAAATATAAATATGACATTGTAGTTATGCAAAGTCTTTCTTTCTTACAGTTTTAAATTCTATATATAATACATAGAAATTTATCATGTGCGGCGGAATGATTTCTTTCCTTTACAAGATTATAATGAATAAAAATCTACAAAATATGACAAAAAATGTTAATAGAAGATAATTCATGTCTTGATTATATGTATTGATCAAATTTCATTTACTCTGTACAAAATACTATCAAATTTTATACAATACTAATTGTTCATATGTAAGACTTGATGCATCAAAGTTTGAAACTGCTAGATGAACATTTTTAAGTAAACGTTAAAAAGTACCATGAAACATTGTTCTAGTATGTGATACGTACATACGTAGTAATGCATTAAAACTATTGTATTCGATTGTACAAGTCATTTCGTTTTACACCCTGCCGTTTTAACAATTTTATTCTCTTTTAATTTAAATTGTAGGAAAAAATCAGCCTTTAAAATAAAAATACATGTATATAAAATTGTATATATATATATGCGCGTATGTGTTTATATATGTATATAATTGTTTCAATTTCAATGTTAGAACGAAGAAAATAACTTTTATTATAAATTTAATTCATTTCCCTCCCATCATATCAATGTTATTTTATATTTATGTAATGACACGAATAAAGTATGAACAAACTAATAATAGCTACATATTATATACTTTCTATCAGATATAAACGACTATCTCATTGTACAATAGTATAGGTATTACAAATGCCTTAACAATCACTGGATATTGTTTAACATGTTTATATTACATTTATTCATTTAAAACAAATGTTTCTTTATAATATTATATTTAAAACTAGCATATAGCAAAATTATATAAAAATGCCTCCATAAAAACTTAGCATGGAATAAATTTCATTCTTCGTTTAGTTTTATCTTTCAGATACAATGCATGTTGAAAGCTACTTTTCAATTATTGCTTTGTGTTGCTTGTTTCCTCACTATGACAGTTGTGATTTATAAATGTATAAACACGATGTGCGTTTTTCCTTTGACAAAAGATAATAAACGTTAAGGCATTTATGACGCCTGTCTATACATCAGGGTTAAGTAATAACTTGTTACTTGTAACGAACAGTTACTTCATTTTTTTTTGTAACTCCAACTTTGTTACTTTCTCTCCATCTGTAACTTAACCCAGTTACATTTTTTCGACAACTAGTAACTAATTTAATAGTTACTTTATATATATTTTCAACCTCCACAGATAGCATTAGGAATGCAGATTTAATATTTTTATGTTCATTGGAAAAAAAGTACTGCAAAGTAACGATTCGTTACTTTTCAGAATTGGTAACTTGTAAACTGTAACTGTAGTTAGATTTTTAGCGAAAAACTGCAACTGTAACTAGATACTTTTATTAAGTAACTTTCCCAACCCTGGTATACATACACACACACACACACATTCATTCGGAGATACCATCCAAGAATTATTCTTCTTGAAAAATTTGTCGCATAAAATGCAATGTTTAGTATAACGATATCACAAACTATTTTATCAATCTTCGCGTACTTAGCTGCTTATGCATAGAAAATATGCATCCCAAATTCAGAAAGTATAAAACGTGTCAACTAAATTGTGTATGTAAACTTGTATACTTTTTCATCTTCTTCGCCATAAGTACTTAATCTTAAGTAATCGTGTCAATTTATTTGACGTGTTTTTATATTCTCACATTTTTATGTTTTAATTTCGATTGTTTAATGTTTGAACAATGCTTCATTTTCAGGATTATCATCTCTGTGCTTCTCAAGATTTCCAGATAGGGTCGGATCTGGTCGCCGCCTCTTAAAGAATCCAAGTTTTCTCAATATCAATGTAAGTAAAATGAATAATAGCATGCCGGCTACTGCGGCCACTATATATATCCACACTGGTACAGGCTCGGCTTCTTGCTGATCCAATAGATCTGGATAAGCAATTGTCTCGGCCTATATAACAATATGAAAAATTGAACGTCTTTTATCGTAATGCTTTTCCCATGTAATTTTCTGTTTATAAAATATGCTTACAATTGCGTAATCATCCTTCAAGTTCTCTTGCTGTATCACAATTGTCGAAGGTATAACTATCCTAGCATTGGAACCTATTTTAACCATGTCCACTTTTGGATAATCTTCGACTAAAGTAGAATTCCAAAGTCTGAAATCATTTCTTCAAGTATTACATGCTCCACAATGTTAAAATTATCCAATTGTCTAGGGAAAGATGCTATGACTTACTGTTAATATAATAAACTGTTACGATCTTCAGTATATTTTTTATAAAAGAATAAATGCATATTGCAATTAATAAATCAAATTACAATCTATTGTTACCTTGCTTTAACAGTTATGATGGCTTCCTGTTTCCTCTGCAAGTTGTATATATAGCATACAATGTCGAAACATTTTGCTGTGCCAGCTTTACAATTCTGTAATGTAAGATCTTTCGATCAATATTCCATAAAACGTTTCATTATCAAAATGTCCTAGACATAGAATCCGCGGAAAAGCTTTTTAGATTTTAACTACATATTTTATTTCGCAATTAATTTTTGTGTGTACTCGGAATAATTTACATCATACAACTTTGAATCAATCTGTATTTATCAAGGATTTATAAATTTACCTACATTTAGTCTCACAATCAGAGTCCTGATTGTTCTAATTGTACCTTGAATGAGTTTATTTTAACTTGACTTGTTTTAGAGTCAATTAAATGAACGAACTATCGCAAGTGATGACCTACCATTGCAACGACACGATGCCGATGTCCATCCTTGTCGACAATTGTTCGCGTATTTACAACTTTTTCTGTATCTCGCGTTGTTCTTATGTGATTAGTATGGTTGTACAAAATTGTCGATGGAGTTGAAGATTGTATAATGCTATCGATATCATCCAAGTTGGTATTATCTTGTAGTTTTAATGGATTAACTACATGTCCTGGTGGTAATATACATTCACCATCTCCTAGAGCTAAATAATTTTACGTATACGTTAGACATAGTGAAAATTTAACTTTTATACTATACTTGGGGATTAAATATTTTCAGTACATTACATTTAATTCACTATATTCCATAAATATTTCCTGGAATCGAAATGTCAGAATAAAACAACATTACTTATGACATATTTTTGAAATGGTGCAGAGTATTTACTGTCTTATTACCTTGTATAGTCGGCATCTCTTCCATATAGAGCAGCCACTTGCCGTGCGTTTTGTCGTTCGCGACCTCGTAAGGCCATGAAATGCGAACCTCCACAGTGCTGACTTTCCATGGACCTTCGTTAAATACTTCGTAAATGTGCGACACCTTCGGTCCTACTTCATTCAAGTGTTTTATCGCGGATTCTCCAACTACGGGGCCACCGTAGAACGCCCACTGAGTTTTCGCGCTTCTACAAGCACATACATGTATGACGATAAACATAGTGTGTGTCACGCAAGTACAACTTTTTTTATTCAATGTTTTGCGAGAGAAGCTTGTGAAAAAGACATATCTTTTTGCCCCACGCACAAAACGGACATAAAAATAACGAAACGTAATAATATTACCCTTTAATCGAGAGCTCGGCGCGTTTTAACACTGTAGCTTGCAGCAGAATGGGTTGCTTCTCTTTCACTTCCTTCGAGGTGGAATTTGCGAAAATTGTAAAACTCAATTGCGATTCATTGTCTTCGAGACCCTTGGGATCGAATCTCACTTGTATGTCCACCGCTTTATCCTTTTTGAACGGATTGCCAATAGAGCACGATACTATAGTAGCGTTGTACAAATTACAGATGACGGAATCGTTGCTTTTACTGGCGATGTAGTTTAAATTCGGTGAGTGAACGATAAACAGTTGAGCCTCGTATGCAGACTCGCCAATGTTTGCCACATTCGCTTCCACAACTATCTCTTCTCTCTCGCCCAAAAACAGCTCGTAAAAGTCCGGCTTTATGGAGGAAGCTAATACAATAAAGAGATTCGTTAACTGTTTTATTAAAAATTTCCTCACACTAGTTCTGGAGAAATATATATATATTGTAACAATTTTGTTATAATAATATGAAAGAAAAACCTACCTGATAAATTCAGTTTAGCTATCACTTGCAAATCACTCTCGCAAATGTCGTTATTTCCACAATCCTTTTGAAAGACAGCTTCGAATACACGTGCGGCTTCTTGTTGATTCAGTATTGGATAATTTTTCATGTCGGGCAAGGGAGCACCTTCGAGAGGCATGACTGGCTCTTCTTGTATCAGCGAATAATTCAGACGGAATTTGATGGGAGTTTGAATGTCGCGTGTATTCTCCTGTGTGTTAAACATTTCTATTAAATAATTGTACATCTTCCAAGGAAGCATACGTAAAGATGGGATCACTTAATTTTTGTATATAAGAATTTAACTCTGGTTAAATAAGTTGTCACACGGCTAATAACCATAAAAATTATTTCATCTTTTCCATCATGAGCGAAATCTATGATGTTTTAGTTGTACAAAAATATAAAAAAAAATACGAAATTACAGAAACAACATAAAATATGGTATGATTTAACTTTACCTTTAGATAGACAATTTCCTTTTGGCAGTGCATCAACTTTGTACTATCCAAGGTGACTGTTCGATTGAGGTAATGAGGACGTGCGTTACCACTGACGGCGAACCAAACTCTGGAGAATTTTTTCGTTCCAGTGTAGGTCTCTGCTTCGATGTAGTAGTTTAATCTTAGGTTTTGCATATAATCTTCTTTCCCTAGCGATTCCGTCTTGCAGCAGGCCTCAAATGCGAAGCATGTATAATTTGAATTTAGATCGGCCAAACATCCAATTCTGTTGGGATCGATAGGCTCTATCGTATCCTGATATATTCCATCCTTGTTCGCATGGCGTATAGAAGTAGTGATGTCGATTATTTTCTTGGAACGGAGAAGTACAACTGCATCATTCTCGTATGCTCCGATCAAGAGATCCGTATAACCATTGTTGTCCATGTCGGTTCCGCCGCTTAACGAGTAACCAAGTGTTTTCAGTGGCGTAGGCATATCTTCAGCATGAATGATCTGATAACACAACGAGAAAATTAATAAGACATTAAGACATGAATAAAAGAAAAATGTATTACCTGTGACGGTGTTTTCTTAATGCCATTCTTGGAACCTAGATAAATATAAACTGTTCCTTTCCCCTCGTATGGAGCACCAATTGCGATATCTTCGTATCCATCCTTGTTCAAATCACCCAAATTTGTCAGTGCGAATCCGAATCTATTGGCAATTTGTTTTATTAACTATTTTTAATATTCACTCGAGTATGGATGTAAAAATGTACTAAACCTTGATTCCTCGTGACCAACGAGCTTGACAGGCAAACACCTCTCGTTATCTTTGGTGGTTCTGCATACATCTAGCGCTGTATAAACATAGACAGCTCCGCCCTCGGCTTTATTGAAATAAAACGGTGCTGCCACGATCAAATCAGTAACTCTACAACAATTCGTATTAACGTGTATAAGTAAAATGAGCAAGATGTACATGTTAGCATGTTAGCATGTTAGCACAATAATCTTGTAATAAATGTTGTTTTACTTGTCTCCGTTTACATCTGCCGATGCGATTTCGTATCCATAGCTCGAGGCGAATTGTTCGCCGTCCAAAACAAGAGCAACATCCATGTCCGGCTTGAAATCACGCCTAGTGAACAACACTACTTGGCCCGTGCCATTAGAACGGGGCGCACCCGCCGCATAAGCCAAATCCTTGCCAAAGAAGTTTCCAACGGCCACGGACATTCCTATGACAACAGGTAAATGTAGTATTACATTAGTAAGATGAAAATTTCTTTTTAACAAGACCACTCACCTAGATAGCTGTATTTATTAACAGGCGAGAAATCTTGCATTGGCGCGTTATAAACTGTATTGTCCCTGGTTAAAAATTCATCGGAAATAGTGAATAGATAAAGAGTCCCTCTCCAAGTATGTGGTCCTGGCGTACCAATCACTACACGATCTTCAGCAGTTAATAAACCGCTGGTCCCGGCCTGACAGTAACCAAACTGCTCGTGGGCTCTAAAAGATGTAAATGGAGTTTAGCAGGAAATAGTAAGAAGTCTGAAAGAATCATGTTGTTTATATTACTTGTTGGTAGGTTTTCCAGAGCATGGCTTTTTCAAATCGTCGTACTTTAAATCCTGTGATAATATGTAACATTGGCCTTGACCCCACTGAGAATCGGCTGTTTTAACGATATGGCGGTGCGCGCATACCTGAAAGTCAATGAAATTTGCGCATCACGGGACTGTTAATTTAGACATTTCCCACAACTGTTTTTTCACTCACCATTACTTTACCTCCTACTCCTTGACTACGTACAGTAACTCCTAACCATTGGTTATCTTTTATTTCGTCATTCCCCGGAGGTATTAAATCGTCCGATTCCAAATCTGGAAAAAGTTTTCACACGTGTAGAGCTATCGTATATCGTTTTCGCTTACGTGTATAATGTCTATGATAAAAATGGTCAAGTAACTTGAAATTATTGTAAAATTTCTTTGGCATATTGTAGTGACCATGCGCATAAACATAAATCTGAATAACTAAACCATTGCACAATCGCAATAATAAATAAATTAGCGAGAAACTATGTTAGTCAAAGCAGAAATGTCTGTGTCAGTCTGCATTCGTGTAACACAAAAGTGCTGTAAACAATTAATTGGTATTAATCATCCTCGGGGAGATATCCCTATGTTGCTTCGAACAAGAGCAAGCTTCGATGCGCATGCTTTCTCATTATTTTATGTAATACTATTCTCTTACTTAGGAAAGACATATGCAACTCGAATGGCAAACCATTGGTAAAAACTCTTCATTCAATTCATTCTGCAAAGACTCTGCGAAAGTTTGTACACTTACTTGAACCGTACGATTCGTATGATCTGTATAGTAGACCATCGTCCACTGGTTTACCGAACCATAATTTAACAAAAAAGCATCTTATTATATAATATGAAAGTAAAAGTATCGTGTACTAGACAAATATATTAGATTACATAGATTGTAAATGAGTAAATTTGGACGTAGACGATGAAAGATACTAGAGAGCACAGTATGAAATGTAATATATAAGACATACTCAACCGTCCATCGGTAATAACTTGAATACAATCCGTTGTATATGTACTCAGCGGGCATTGCCACAACGCTCCCGATCTGTTTGTACCCGGTTGTCGATTTTGATCCAAGGGTGCGCCGATGAGCATCCTGTCGAGGAGGGGATACATGTATATATACATATAAAGAATGAAGAGGCTAAAGGCACTCACCAACTGGTCGATTTCGATAACGAGTGGTTCTCGATCTCTATATGCTCGGCTACGGAGTAGCCAAAGTAGGAGCCCTGCAGGCCCCTTTTGACAACAGGTATTCGTGGTTCGAGATTAAAGGCGTGCGTGACGCACGCACTCAAAGCTATAATCCAGAGTAAGGCGCTCGTCTCCATTTCTATCTGGTCGGGCGGCTCTCCTCTTTTCTCAGCTCAGCTCAGCACGTGCAAGCCCTGGGAAACCCGGTGTCTATCGCATACCACGCTTCGTCATCACCGTCGTCACTCTCCTCTCGCGCGAGTACTCTTTCTACATTTTTGAAAACGCACTATCCACCCACGCATCGGGCCGCGGGCGTACTTTCACGAGCTCGAGCTCGAGCGGACTCGCTGGGACTCGCTGGGACTCGCGTGTGCTCGCGTGTCTTCGGTGGCTGTCCACCATGCAATGTGTCTCGTCTCCGGTCTCCCCCCAAATGCCCCCAATCCCAATTCCCAATCAGGCTCGACAACGTTTCGTTACCGTCGTTACGTAATAAAAATGTCCCCTATATGAGATATGCGGACAATAGCGAATTATTTTTGGAAAAGCTTCAAAGAGAGCTATTAAATTGTTGGTCGCTTTTGCATTTTCGGACCACTGTTTCTCAAGATGGAAAAGAGAAAAACAGACAACGCGCATACATATATACATATATATTATCCAAGTATGGTTGGCAAGGTATAAACAAGAAAAAGGAAATTATTATTAAAATAAAGAAAAATGAATATTTGATTGTAGGTGAGAAACCGCGACGACGATCGAGCATTAATGCGACTCGTACTCATTGGTAATCGATGGGGATAGCAATTTATTGTCTCCCGTTGACGCCCGTAACGTGAAGCTTGACGTCGAATAGCAGGAAATGCCAGTTTCGTGTTCGACAGTGCAGTAGCGTCGTTGCTCGCATGCTCGTCGCGCTCGCGGATCGCTCACGAGCTATCGTTCTACGTGCTATGTCTCCTTTCATCCTCTAACCTTTCTTTTTTATCACCCTACGTGTATTCGCATACGTTTCACTAATTTTACATTCGCAAAAATGCACACGAGTGTTTCCTTTCATTTATGGAAATAACATGGAAATTGTACACGCACAGAGTAAGTAATATATATATTTTGACACTCGTTTCGAGGTCAAAAGATATATCTAATCGCATCACCAAATGGTTCTATTATTTGCTTCTAGACGATACGATGGATATGTTAGCTTTCCCTGGGAAATAAATATATCGATTACACGTCTCGTCCGAGTTGTCTGTAAAAAGGATAAAATGGCCTCTTGGCGTGAGAATTCACTATATAGATAGAAAAGAATGTGGACGCTCCTTATATTGTGTCGGCATTGTGGCCAGGTTTGTCCGAAATCTAATCGAGTCAACTATTATTCGAGGTAGTTGGAAATGGTGGAAAAAACAAGATTTAGCGGATTGATCCCGGGTTAGAGTCTATGTACGACCTCGAGTGCCTTCGCGAGTGCCGCTTTTCCCCGCGAAACACAGTTCGAATCGAAAGAGCGGGAAAGAGCGGAACGAGACATTTTTGCGACGCGAGTGAAAAGTCGCACAATCTGGACATTTGATTGTTAGATTTTAGCTTACGGTTGGAACACAAGTTGATTTTCTCACGTACGTGTGCCAGTAATGGCAGGTAATGGCAATGGCAACATATATACCGAGATTAAACGCGATATCGATTCGCGATTGTGAACGCTCGACGATTCTAATTAACCGGAAGGACAATTACAATTCGTATTCATAATCATAATCGAGTAGCACGCAAAGCAGGGTTAATCTCATTAGCTAACAGCTGCGAGAGAGACAGGAACGGATCCTGAGATGGTAATCCTCTAGTTCTTTCCCTTCCCCGCTTTTCTCTCTTACTCTCTAGGTAGAAGAACCTATCAATATTTTTTACAAGAGTTTACAAGAGTGCAATTGCTATCTCTCCAGAGCGCTCTTCGAGCTGAAAAATTGCAAATCGCTCTCGACACGAAAAGTGACAAAATCCGGCCCTGATTGCAGCAGGTGCGAGCAAGAGGGGGTGTACGTCTATAGAGAGCCTAAATAGATTGAGGAAAGAAAATGGAACGACGGAAGAGGAAAGTAGGAATAAGTGGGGAGAAGGACGAGATTGAAAAGTTGCGGAAAGCGGTGGGAGAGTCTATCGAATCCATCTGATTATTCCGTGCACTGTGCTCCGCTCCGCATCTTTCAAAAGGACATCCTTACAAGAGGGATTTACAAGAGGCCAATTGGGGCAAATTTAGGCAAGTGACCAAGTATCCCATCGTTATACGTATGGATAAATAGAGAGCTGGCGTATGATTAAGTGCGTGTGAAAAGAAATTTTCACCAGGTGAAATTGTATCAAAGGATGAAATTTGCCCCATGATGGATGAAAATCGGTGTAAAAGTGTAAAATTTGATACATTTGAAAAGTTAACGCCCTCTCAGATGGGGTATAAGATCGGATCGTATAAGCGCGGTGTTTATTTCAGGATATTTTTCTAGCGACTTTACGCTCTTGCGAAAGTGCCCCGTATAAATAGAAGCGCAGATGCCCCATATGAAATCACTTTGGATTTGCAGGAAAATGCATTTCGCAATTTCAAGTGCATCTTGAATATCCGAAAAGGTGGTAATTTTTTCATTACTTTGTAACGCGTGTGTCGAAGCGTCGGAAATAAATGAGCGGCATCGATGAGCACAGGGTCATCGATGAGCCGACATACGTGAGCGAAATGATCAACGATCTAATAATAATCGCGCTCTTAGCTCTCTTATCCATATGCCAGGTTGATTTGAATTCAAGGGACCGACCCCACCACTGTATCCTTTTAGTGAGCGAGGTCAGTGATCACACAGTGTGAAGAAAGGTTTGACAACGTCTAAAGAAACATGTACGGTCTAATCTTGGAGAACCTAGCTGAATACATAAGGCAGGTTTACGGCGAGGACAGATGGGAGGAGATTCGCAGGCAAGCGTCCGTGGATCAGCCGAGCTTCAGCGTTCACCAGGTCTACCCGGAGAACCTGATACCGAGATTAGCGAAGAAAGCAATTCAGGTAAATGAGAGAAAAGAGAGAAAAGAGAGAGCCTTATTCAATACTTACTCTTCAGGTTCTCGGCGTAACGGAAAAGGAGTTCTTCGATCAAATGGGGGTGCACTTTGTAGGTTTCGTCGGACAATACGGTTACGACCGCGTACTCTCAGTGCTCGGGCGGCACGTCAGGGACTTTCTCAACGGTCTAGACAATCTTCACGAGTACCTCAAGTTTTCCTATCCGAGAATGCGAGCGCCTTCGTTCATATGCGAAAACGAGACTCGTCAAGGTCAGTCACAGAGCCGCTCGTATGTACATACATATAGCCACGTCCTCAACTTGCGCTTAAACGCGATAGGGTTGACGCTACACTATCGAAGCAAACGCCGGGGCTTCGTCTACTACACGATGGGCCAAATAAGGGAAGTCGCCCGACACTTTTATCACAAGGAACTGCAGATCGAGCTGGTGCGCGAGGAAGTGCTTTTCGACACTGTCCACGTCACCTTTCAACTTACCTTCGACAATCGCGCCTTTACCCTAGCATCCCTCGCGATGACTCGCGAGGAGAAACACCTGCCGATCGGAGCGTGCGTGCTCTTTGAGATATTTCCCTTCTGCATCGTCTTTGGGTGCGCTGCATGTTTTCTGCATAAATCCAATTTTACATTCCATCTACACATTATGCAACTACCCTTTCAATTTCAGATCAGATATGGTTGTCCGGAGCATCGGCAATTCACTAATGGTCATATTGCCAGATCTGGTTGGCAAGAAGATTACGTACTTTTTCGATTTGGTTCGACCACTTATCGCGTTTAAATTTCAATCGGTAAATTTAGTAAACGTAAGAGATAAGTAGATCCCATCCCTATTTCGAAATACTTGACACCTATGACTTTTAAATCTCTCCGACGAAGAAACGATTTCGAATCCTTCCCGACTCACTCATTTTCTATAATTTAGATATTAAACAGAACAAACAACATTTTCGAGTTGGTTACTGTTGAGCCAGTGCTTACGGAACGATTGAATGATCGACACAGAAACGAAATTCTCTTGAGCGACGAGCTTGAGACGGTAGAAGATAAGACTTTACGACTGAAGGGTACGCTTTTACTTGGGAATTCCACGCGAGACCTCTTCTTATTTGTGTCATGAAAGGACATTTTTCAGGTCAAATGATATACATGGACAACTGGAAAATGATGATGTATCTCGGTACACCTGTCATGCCCGACCTCAACGCTTTAATAGCAACCGGCCTTTACATAAATGATCTCTCGATGCACGATTTTAGCCGGTAAATCCCCTTTTCCCCCAAACTATTGTTAAACCAGTTGTTACTGCAGTTAAACCTTTCTAGAGACCTCATGCTCGCTGGGACTCAACAGTCGGTCGAGTTAAAACTGGCGTTAGATCAAGAACAGCTTAAGAGTAAGAAGCTGGAGGAATCTATGAGGAAACTGGACGAAGAAATGAAGCGTACAGATGAGTTGTTGTATCAAATGATTCCAAAACAGGTCGCGGACCGTTTGAGGAATGGCGAGAGTCCGATCGATACTTGCGAGGTATTCAAAACTAAAGCTCAAAATTAATTATCTCTCCTTTTATACAATTTTTTTATTTTAGCCAAATCGAAAACAACCCTGCAATCGTCATACATAAATTTTCTAAACCTATTGTGCTCAAAATAATTATCCAAATAGACATTTCTTTATTATTCGGCTTGCTCGTAGATGTTTGATAGTGTATCGATCCTGTTCTCGGACGTGGTAACTTTTACCGAGATCTGCAGTAGGATCTCACCGATGGAAGTTGTGTCCATGTTAAACGCCATGTATTCGTTGTTTGATACTTTAACCGAGAGAAATCGAGTTTACAAGGTATTCATTACATTTTCTCCAAGTTATCTCTCTCTCGAGATTCAGTCTTCTTTCAATTACAATCAAGCAGTTTACGTTGAAAAGTATTTTTTCTAACAAATCACCCAGTCCTTTTTATTCAAGGTCGAAACTATCGGTGACGCTTACATGGTGGTTTCTGGTGCGCCGGTAAAAGAGAACGATCATGCAGATCGCGTATGCGATATGGCGCTTGATATGGTCGAAGCGATAACCGATCTCAAGGATCGCTCAACAGGTGTATATTGTAAATGTTGCGTTTTTAAAATCGAATTTTTCAATCACTCTTTTCGTACTTTTGAAATTGATCTCGTCTAGAAAGTATAAAATATAAAGAAAAGTAAATGTTGGCAGGCAACCATCTTCAGATACGCGTTGGCATTCACAGTGGTGCGGTTGTAGCCGGTATCGTTGGCTTAAAGATGCCACGATACTGCCTCTTTGGTGATTCTGTCAACACAGCAGCCCGCATGGAGGCGACGAGCCAAGCGATGCAGATACATATATCCCAGTCCACCCAGGAACTGCTGTCGCCCTCGTATAAGGTGAAGGAACGCGGAGAAATCGAGGTGAAGGGAAAGGGCACAATGAAGACCTATTGGTTGGAGAAGCGAGAACGTCGTTCCGTCACGACCAAGGGAATCACTATACAGGAGCCTCATCAGTGGCACACTAGGAGCTTCGAGAAGAGGATTTCCTCGGTAGGAGCGATAGGCCTGATAAGCCCAGGCATGTTCGACAAGTCGACCGCGGGAGACGGGCCGCCGAAACGTCGAGGTTCCTCCAAGATGTCGTCCCCGACGCCACCGGGCTCCTCGGGATTCTTCTCCGAGGAGAGAAGGATATACTCGCCCATTACTTTTCAAGATGTCGCGCGACGGTCGGTCGCCAATTCGCCGACCAAGAATGTCGAGATACGAGGTGTGAGAGAGACTCTTCTTTCTTATTCTATTACTTGATCTAGGCGCGACAGAAAATTGAAATGTTGCTTGCAGAATGTCGATCGAATTCGATGGGCGCGGTAGGCATGAGGAATGCATCGGACATGTTCAGCTCGCTCCTCAACGACACGGAGGAGCACTTCCGGCAGCACCGGGACAACTTGTCGCCGCGCGTCGAAAATCTATCGGCGAGCGTGCACGTGAAACCGGAAGTGAAGATCAATGCCACTTCATCCTCGTCCTCGTCCTCGTCCTCGTCGAGTTCCGAGGACGAGTCCAATTTGTCCGTGGATTTCGTCCTACAGGCGCGAAAGAGCAACGCCGACGCGCCGCAGCCAGCTGGCGAGGACGGTGAGTGCGCGGCGGCCATCAGTAGCGATCTCAGCAGCTCTCAGTTGGCGCAACAGGACCAGTGCTGTCCGGGATTTACCATCTCGAAGAGCAGCAAGATGCGTCATCAAGGAAATACCTGTGTCATTGTCTAAATTAGAGAGTGTTGCGATGAAAAAAATGTTCTTTTTTTCCCCCTTTCCTTTTCGCGTAAATTCCACTTCTGGAATTTCCAAGTCTTTCTTATAAGAGATGTCGAAAACTTGGCGTAAAATAGCCATATAAAAACTCGACTCGGAATATTTAAAGATCGCGCGCATTTCGTCTGCTCATTGCTGCTGCTGTCGTGGCGCTACTGGCACTCGCCATTCGGTCATTCCTCGTAAAATTTTCCGCACTCTGCTACGCTACATTCTACGCAAGTAGTATGTCGTTGCTGTTGTGACGTGTTATATATTTTTTTTTTCAAGAAAATATTTGGCGGGTGTTGCGTGCGGTGGAAAAGACGGCGCAAAAAAGTAAGTAGTGGCGGATAAATGATGGGCGATATTTCGGCGTTATATACGTTTGCGTAAATGCGGGAGGAGGTTAGGGTTAGGTTAACGTAGCACTTGCTCGATCTCTGATGTGAGATCTCTCTCTCTCTCGCGAGATATACACGCTAATGAAGACTTCGAGAGCGAAATTCTTTTCTAGATAACGAATTAGGCTGTAGCACATGCCTCTGCGCCTACCTCTGCGTGCTCGACTCGTTGGCTCGATCGTAACCTTGAATTTCGCTCTTTACACTCTCTCAGCCGATGGATTTCCAACAATTAAACTTGCTAGAAATATTCCAACAGAGTTGTCACGAGTATAAATGTTGTAACGTTATGACAAATTATATTTGACAGCTGCACGTGCAATTGTTTCAACTCAATTTCATATATATTTGCAATGCGACTTGAATGTGCGCAGAGGTGGAATGGTGGAAATGTTGAATTAGTAGTGTAATCAATTTGCAAGAAAACTGTTTGCTTGCAGCGGCAGAAAATGATGCAGGATGAAGACTTGGGTGGTTCAGTGAGAAGAAATGTCTTTAGTCAAGGGATAATAAGAATATCACAGGTTAATATCATTGTTACAAACTTGCAAATTTCCCTCTATTCTAGTCTACATTATATTATGTTCTTTTCCATTGCAGATATATCAGCGATACTTGGATCAATGGACTCCCCACGTAATATCGCGATGGATATTTGCTTTATTCCTATTAGTACTTTTTATTCTACGTGTATTTATCTCTCAAGTATGGTATTCTCTATTATTCTCTAAACTCCATTCCTTTACGGCATATTTATAATTTTGCACTTGCAGGGGTGGTATATCGTCACGTACGCTCTAGGAATCTATCACCTCAATTTATTCATAGCATTCCTTACTCCAAAAATTGATCCTGCCATGGATTTTGATGGTAAGCATTTTTATAGATTAAGACTAAATTAGAAATTAAAGTTCATTCAACTTGAAATTACAGATGGAGAAGGTCCAGAGTTACCTACAAGATCAAACGAAGAGTTCAGGCCATTCATTAGAAGATTACCTGAATTTAAATTTTGGTACTCTGTTACAAGATCTACGGTCGTTGCCATGATATGTACCCTATTCGATTGCTTTAACATACCAGTATTTTGGCCGATACTTGTTATGTATTTCATAACACTGTTTTGTATCACAATGAAGCGGCAAATCAAGGTAAGTTTTTAAATCCTTTTTAATTTTGCTTGTCATTTTATATATTATATATTACGCTCGTTACACAGTTACATTGAAACTTGTAAAAAAGAGGGTCTTTTTCTCTTTGCAGCATATGATCAAGTACAGGTATCTGCCTTTCACCCATGGCAAACCGAAATATCAGAACCATGAAGACATTCGCGGTTAATATCGTCAAAATAAATGCAAGTAAAGAATATATTGTGCCTGTACAGGAGGGAGGAGACATCGTGAGCGTGTACATTTTTATTTCTCCCAGTACAGGGCGAGGAATACTAGCGAGAAGAGAAAGAGAAATCGAAATTTTTTTTATGCCATTAAAGGAAAAGGATATTGCCTTGTACAAGAAAGGATCGAGTCCTCGGAAGGACTTGTAACTCTAAAATATACAATGTATGGTATATAAACTGGAGTATCTTAATATATTTGTATCATAAAACTTGTACAAAATATTGTTAGTTCTTATCTCATTAAAAAAAAAAAAGTGAGGAAAAGAAATAATATGGTCACATCCGATATCGAATGCAGTTGTCAACGTAGACGAGTGTAACAAGTTCATATACACATAAACGATTTCTTTACTTGACGGGTGCTTTCCATTTAATTTGCCGTCTCCATCTCTCTCGATATCTCAAATCACTTAATTTTACTTAGGGAATCTACCAAAATATCGAAAAAAAAGTTAATTTTACTCGTTAAATTACATGGAAATGTATCTCTAGAATGTACTTATATGTACGCGAATATATCTGGGAATATACGTATAATAAAATCAATTCATCTCTCGATTTATACTTAATTATTACTATATTGTGAAATTGTTGTGTACAAAACTCTTGTTATAAATTGAAATTGGTTTTACGTATTTTTTTTACTATCCAGAACTGTCGCACAACATACAAGCATCGCTACAGTCATATAAATGGAAAGTACCCAATCAAATTTGGTTTTAGAAATTCTAAGGGGTATCGTTTCCTCCAATACATACATTCCATGTGATTTATTTGTATCTTTTAGGTGAGCAGCTATTTCAAGTTTTACTTGAATATCACTTTTCTCTTTAGTCCGAATCTATTGACATCTCTTCAAATCTTTCTAATATTCCATTATAAGGAGAATTCAAAATCGTGAAATGCAGAAAGCAAGATATGTATACACAAAATCAGCTATTCATCTATTATGGAAAAATGTTACTTTATTTTTATTGTACAAAAATTGTAATATCTATTAATATAAAAGGAATTATTGCATTTTATTATTGTAATATTTTACTTATTAGACTAGTATTATTTTGCATTTTACGACCTCACAATCTATCTTTTGGAAATTTTCTCTTTGACATTTATGTCCCGCAATAGCATATGGATATATTTAATTCGAGAGAAAGAGAGAGAGAGAGAAATTCATTACTACAAAGAATAAAAATATATTGCACGAGTAGTCCTGCTTATTAAAGATACACATCTATTTAATCGTAGAATACGAAATTTTATCGATACTTTTCTAATCAATTTTATCGAATTTTGATGATTAGTATTTAACCGGAAAGTATTTTTGAATAAATTTTTTGCGCTATCTTTAAAAAAATGATTATTTTAATTTCGCAACATTATGTGCAGAAATTTTAAAAACATATATATCTACTTGACAAAAATAGGATATAAATGCACATACAAGATATGTACATTTTTTACTAGTATGGTATTCTAAGATTAAATAGATGATTAAACGACTGTATTTTGTAATAGATTACTACAATAATATCCATGTATTTCGTACTCTGTGAGAGAAACGATGCTCACAATCAGTAAAGTGATAAAGTGAAATTTATACGAGAAGAAATTTGATGGAAAAATTTTTGTAAACCAACACAAAGTGGTTGGATTTATTTCATTGTACATAATGGAATATTTCTCCGTGCAATTCTTATTTTTTAACAACAATTACACACATTACAACTGCTTATGTATGAGTATGTGTAAAATGTAAAAGTCAGAATCAGCACATTCTCAAAGATTGAATTTTATATATAAACATGAAATATTTTACACTGTCCAAAGATATGTAGTAAGACATATAGTCATTATTATACGAAGGATAAGCTTTTCATTTTTACGGGTTTGTTTATGTATATAAATAAAAATAAATATATGCGTGTGCGCGCATGTATACATATATACAGAACATACACTCGCCGATAGAGTTAAATAGAGAAAAGTTCTCTACCGTTTAGCAATTACGGCCAAACATAAATAGGTTATTATAGACGCATGCTGATTCGCGGATCTTTATTAATTGATAAATTTATTAGCATAGTCACAAAATGGTTCAGGACTCATTTCATGCACCCACGGCGGGTGTTACACCTATTAGACACTCTGTACATACATATATGTAACTCGACGCACACAAACACGTACGTACATTTTTAACTGTAAATGTCTGCGGAGCTTGAGCTGAAAATTTGTATATCGCTTTAATCACTGTTATACCGTATTTCAAATGTGTGCAAAGAGAAAATAAAATTCCTAACGATCAGATTTGTTACATTTTGTAACTCCATAATGTGACTGTACAATAATCTTTCTTCATTTGATATTAATCTTATAATTGCAATAGTTGATGAAGTAATGGTCTAGAATCGTCAAAATTCTCAAGCGAAAAAGAAGAGAAGGGATTATTTCCTGATTTCTAATAAATTATGATGAGTGCAACTCGGTATCAGGTCACATCTGCGAATAATACATGCTGTATTTCAACACAGGTAAGTATATTTTGTTACAATTGTTACAAATTTGTTTAATAAATATACATTTTTGTTTTCGTTATAATCTGTATATTTTTACACCTAACTTATACCTATTATTATATCAACAATATTATCGATGTATCATGACCGATTTATTAAGTTAATATTCCAGTTGATTGGATTAATCAATGTCTCGTTGGAATAATTTGACAGAAACATATATCATCTTTAGGATCGTTTGCTGTAATAGGTGTTCCCTTGTTTAAAATGATTTTAACGTTTGATTAAAGAGAATACGAAAGAGAGACCGAGGAGAGTTAAAATTTCTATCGACACAAGTGCACGATTCCTCAGCATGATGCAGAAAAATCTTTTAAAGCTGAAATGGTTGCATGCACTAGTCAACGTTGACAATGAGTGAAGACGGCACTCGTCTTGTACTTGCAACAAGTTATTCAGTTTTACAGAAGAAACTCATTCACCATTTCTCTTAATTCATCTAGTTTTGCGAAATTGTATCGTATAATCGTATAATCGTATAATCGTATAATCGTATAATCGTATAATTGAGATTCTGATGTTACATACACGCACGCACGTTACATAAAATATTCTTTTTTACGGCTATCTATATTTAATTATCAAGTCAAAGAGGAAACCAGTTTTTCTCGCACTATATGCGAATAAAAAATATGTTGGAAAAACTGTTCTCTTTGAATAAATGTGCAATCCACATATGTTTGATATTTTCAAGAGAGAGAGAGAGAGAGATAATATATGGGTGAATTCTCTTTGGCATATTTTGCGAGTCGATATTGTCGCAATGAGGATATATACACGACATTGACATACGAACGCCAAAGATAAAATCCATATCCAGTCTCTCACTCGTGCCATCGTAATTTCGTAATCGAATAATAAAATCCCGCGGCAAGGGAGTGGAATTAATGATATGTGAGGATTTTGGCAAGATATGAAAAAATATGGAGAAAGATAGGAGGGGGATATTTGTTTTGACATATATTAGTTAATTATTCGCATTGAGAATTTTCGTGGGAAACGCAGCGCTACATATATAGCTGCATGCCCACTTGTAATCAACACACACACCCACAGCCTACCGACGCGACGACGTAATCTGCAATATTGCGACAACGCGACGGGTCTTGTTCCATACTGAAATCTCTCTCATGAATCTTGTCTCACTCGTTGAGATCCTCCGAAATAACCCCTTTGGATTTATCGAGGAACATGGTGGTGGAATTGAGGCCTATCACTGTCGTAGTGGTAGTCTCACTTACCGTAGACTCCCGCTTTCGATAGGGATTCGACGGCTGGCACAATCTGCGAGATCGATGACGAGAAAATAGAGAATCGACAAGTGAGTTAATCCAATTTCAATAGTCAAGATGAAAATGACCAAGTAGGAGCAAACTAAGCAGGTAAAATTAAGGGATTTGCGAGAATCGACAATTGAGAGCGATCTTGACATTGATTATTACGTTAAATATGTATAGAGATACGAGATAGATATTTTTAACACAAGGTACGCCCGCACGTTAAACGAGTACCTTATGCTCTCCGTTCTTGAACGAGGGGACCAATTGTTATAATACCTCCGGCGGTTGCCGAGATTTCGCGAGGTGCTCCAGCGTGCAAAATGATGCCTAACCGTATTCTGCACTTCGGTATTGAGGAAGCAGTAAAATAACGCCACGAAGAATCCCTGAAAGAGAACATTTTTCCCTTATTCTTAATCGAGTGTCACAAGTTACTCGATCTTTACCTGTGAAGAGAGCAAAATTGCGCGCGCATAGGAGAATGCATTCGCAACTTGACCTTCGGTGGGCCCAGCTATGACCAGGACGTACGTCACTCCTAGAAGTGGTATCAGCACCAGGAGAGCTTTACTGGCTTTCCGGTATTGCTGCGTCTCGACGTTGTTGGACGACCAGAGCTTCGTTATCAGCACCTACCGTTATCCAAAAGTTGTTTCATCTCGGCCGCGATTAGGCTACACTTGACTCACCCGCATAATCATGAAAAGGAACACCATGTTGACCGCTAGGACTGTTATAGCGGACGCTTGATAGAACCAGTCGTACGGATGCGGTATCATCCAGGGGCAGTGTTTCCAGAGCGCCATTTCCTGCCAGTGTCGTATTCGTAATTAATGCACAGGGTCGCGATATCGACCCCACAGTTAAGTAAACTAAAGATACGGTGGGTATCTAAGCAACGTCTTAACATTTCCTTTCTCAATGACTCCTACTATATTACTATTATATACTTGTATAAATATCTGTTCGGTATCATTCGTTGTAACTTTGCTCGATCTTTCTTTCATGTAATCTCGACGATTCCAGCGCAAGGTCTTTTCGCGAGCGAGCGATGAAGAGTAAACGCATCGAGCATCTCCGTCCAAGCCGAAGGTGTTGGATGACGTATATATTGACGTATGTATACTATATGTATAAACCTACCCCACATTTTCTACATGGATGTTATTCCTGCCTTTCCCCTCCCCGCGCGTCTCATCCTTGTCACGTACTTGGACGCGGCGCGTTAACAGGCGAACGTGACTGAAATTTTCATCGGTATTTTCGACGCCGTCCATTATCACAGCCCGTTACGGCCTGTCGCCATCGGGAAATGAAACATTTCTCGGCCGGCAACACGGAAATTCGCTGTCAGAGATGTTTAAATTCATACCTGGTTAGCTTGATTCATGATGTGGCTCATGACTTTCTGATCCAACAACTTGGCGATTCCCCACATGGCTATCACTAGCACCGGCACACCTGGGTGTAATTTGTCTATTAGTTTAATCTTGTCTTATCTTTCCCCGCTCGATCACTCACCCCAGCCAATTACCAGGCAGAGTCTCAGCTTGATATTATCGCCAGTGAAGGTTTTCACGACCAACAAATACAAGTACAGACCTATAAACACGAAATACAATCGTTCCTTCGCTATCTCGCGCGGCTATCTCGAAATTATATTCATTTCATTCTTCCCTTAGCAATTCATTCCTTTTATAGCTAACTCACCTTCGACAAACATCCAGAAAAAGTTTGTCAAGTGAAAGTAGTGAAGAAGCGAGAAGAACGTGACGCAAGTTGGTATATCCGTTTGCATCGACACCTGGAAATTGTATTATTAAGTGACAACCGAATCAATCTTCTGGGGCTTGTTGAGGAGCTAGATTTTATCATAAAAGTGCATTACAAAATGGAGATTTTCTCTTGGCGCCACAGGGCTAAACATTGTATTGTTGAGTTTCGTTGAGAAACTTGACCGAAACTCAACTGGTAAAATGTGACAATTATCATTATCTTTACGTTTCTCTTTTCTCTTTCTTATTCACCGCCTCGCTCTCTAATAAACTAATTTCAGCAGTCAAAGCGTATAATACATAGAAATTATTCATAATGAAAATGTAAATTGGAGAAATTTTAAATTCGGTTATTTGCTTTTCGAGATCGCAAAGGGCACTTTAATTAATGAATTCTCTGTTGGAAATAAACAAGGATTTTAACAGACAGTTGGAAAAAAGTTACCTGCATCACAGTAGTTAAGATCCACGTCAAATCAGCCAGGATATAAGTGAACATTAGATTCGTATGTATGTTGTTTCTGAGGCACCGTAACTCTCTACAGAAAGGAATATCAAGTAATTAGAGTCTTGAGGAACTCGAGCTGAGCAACATTTTCTCAGCATCGAGTTAATTTAGATTAGTATGGGCGGCTCAATCTGGGAGCAATCTCAATTAGGAAATCGGACCGAGCGCGGAACTGAATATGTATATGTATATCGTTTCGACCATTTGCTCCGAGGCGGAAACTTAACATTCATTTCACTATATTATTCCAAGAGTTTCGAAATAGTTGGAAATAGACTCACTTGTAATAGATGAATATACAGACTGCCATTATCAGAGTGAACAAGGAAAGGCTGTAGCCGATGAAATATAGCGTAGTCGTGATTTCTACACCGGGCTCGATGGTCGACAACCGCACGTCGCGGCACATGGAATAATTGGAGTAATTGTCCCAGGTCCCATTCGGCCAGCACCAGCGACTGGCGTTTTCTGCAACACATTGCCAATACTTGCTCTTGACAGTAGTTGTCTAAATACAAATATATATATTCCAATATCCCCGGCCCAATTTTTGCACCATCTTTCAACTAGACGTGCAACCGTCGCCTGCGTCGTTGCATTATTCACAACCACGAGGAAAAACGCAGGATGAATCGATACGCTGAAAAAGAGGTCGTTCGTCCCCGAAGTCGCTTGTAGCAGACCGCTTGTAGCAGACCGAACTGACAGAAGCAACATCATCACTTGCCGCGGAGGTAATACCTCGTGCAGAAGGGGAGAATCGAGACTAATTGACGAATTAAAGAGCTAGGAAAAAGTCTCATTTTCTATCTTGTTGATTATCTTACTAGTAGAGATGATAGAGATTGGCCAATTTTCACTCAAAAACTCATTTGATTAACAACTTTTCGCCTCGAAATAATGATCGACTACTCGTAACGACGCTTCGTTGCGGCAAGTTTGCAAAACTTGTTAGCGCGCTTCCATTTATCGCCTAGAGCTGCTCAAACAATAATGGGTGGCGCGAAAGTCATGGAGTGGGTCATGAAATTTCTTAATTATTCTTGGGAATTAACGATATGCACTTTACTGCAAGTTCTTATAATGTAAACTATTAGTTTGCGGCGAGAGAACTTTGCCATAGTTTTAATCAGTATAATAATGCTAACTCCACACGCGCGTGCACGCTCGTAACTATAAATTGCACTATTAATCCGTAAATATCTTTTTATTACAGAAGTACGTTCTGTAAATTATACAGATATAAAATGCCAGTTGTATAGCTTCATAAATAATTTGGAGTCTATTTTTCCTTACCAAAATATCAAATAATGTTTGAAATTTATTATCAATTGAAAATTAACAGATATGAAAGCTCTTGCAATTCAGCGAGATTGTATTTTTAATTTAATTGAGAAATACCGAATTTAAAATTAGGATAGAATGAAAGAAAGAAATTTATCGGAATTTGCATTGAGACTGAAATAACCGTCGAGGCTTTATTTCAATTTAAACACGCGTATTGTTTAGTGCTTTGTATTCGGATGTAGTCTTGTCGCAAGAGAGTCGAAAGAATCAGTTGTATCTATCCGATATGAAAAATAAGAAAAAATAATATCTCTTATTTTCACAGAATAGCTTACATTTTACTTTCATTAATATATGTGTGTATACAATTAATGGAAATTGAAGAGAAAGAATTATATTTCGTAATACTGACAAATAAACACTCGATATATGCACCTGATGTAATAATTAGACGTTGTGCCGGTAATGATTGCAATCACGCGCATGGTTAGCTCCCTAAGGATATAACAGTAACCGAGAAACTCTGTTGTGAGTAATAACTGTAATTGTTGTGCAGTAATTGAATACGTGCTTGTATATATATTAGTTTTGGGCAAAATACAATGAAAATACTTGGTCGTGTCATCGAACCATGATGCAGTAATAGCATTTAATAGTTGTTTAGAAAAATACTTCATTCTAATCTTCTGGAAAGTCCAAGTCACTTGACTTTCCAGAATAAAATAATAAAATATTCGTGTTGGTAGATAAAGATTACGAATGTGATTTCGTTTCCATCTGTTGATCAATAATCTGACGAATATTTTTCGTCAACAATAAAATGCGTGCCGATATAAGCGGACTCAAGGAGATTGTTATTTTTAAATGGTTTGCCTTCTCCTGGCTCGTACCCTTGTTAATTTCCCAGGAGCATGTGTGGACTTGCCAACCTACTCTTCATTTAATCGCCATCATCTATTCTAACGTTTCCATACGCACCGTCGTTGAGATACGCATGCTGTGGGAGATGCTTACCAGGTGTTGACACAATTCGATAATCAATAATGTGGCGCATGAATAAATCGGAGCAGATGCTCTTGTTGGTATTTGTCGAAGCAAACGCTTGAAAAAGATATCAGAGAAAATTCCTCCTATTCGAAATATATTTCTCTTGCAAAACTAATTTTATCGATTATATTAACCAGCTGTTCTGTGCTTTCCCAAAATATTCAAGATATCAAAATAATCGTGCAACAACTGCACAGTAGTGTGTGTGAAAAAAAGTCATCGATAGAACAATTAATCGGACTTGCGCGAATGAAATGTAATACAAGTGAGATTCTCCGCATAGATGTGTCATTAGCCAAGTCTGCAATTTAATTACAAGTTCATTAATAGCACGCGCGCCACAGGTTGGTATCCGCTCTTGCTCGCTCTTCTCACGTTCGCCTCGCTAACAAATATCGACGCGCGTTCCTTTCAGACTACACGTCTGTGGTAATGCGACACTTTGACGACGTTGAAATTCGATTAAACGTCTGTCACTCCGACTTTTAATTAGCGATTCGCCCCGCCTCTTTCGTGCCTTTTTCAACGCGCGTCCTTAGTTTTAATAATACTTGAAAACCTCTACAAACTGAAGCCCTTTATACTTGGCTAGAGGCTAGAGGATGTGACCAATATAATTTTCGAATTAATAGATGTAGATTTCTCTCTCCCTTTCCCTGTACTTGAGGAGATAATTAATCAAAATGAATAAGCTCGTTGCGCTTCCGCATTAAATGATTCATCCATCACTGTAAAATGCAATGCGATGGAAGCAACACTGCACGAATAATACTCTTCACATATCTCTCGTCCTGTTTATTTGTCTTTCTCTTCCATCTCCCGACTCGAATGCGTGAAATGAATATTTGCGTCCGAGCTCTGTTGGCAGCACTTTACACGGACTATACCCTGGAGCATTGTACTCTTTCTCTTTCTTTTTACTTTCACATCGGAATATCGGATGAGCATAAGAGAGATATATCCACTCCATGTTAAGCACTACGTACCGTGTTAATAAGTTGTCGCAAATAAATCTCGTTAAGCGCCGTGCACGCGTAAAGTGAGTTTCTTCTCCAACACTTTTCCTTCAACTTTCTCGAAATACTTTTTTAAATTAATATAAAATAGCTCGCATGCAAATAATATTCCGCTCCATTTCACAGGGCTTCTCTATCCCGATTGTATTATAATAATGTACTGGAAACTGTATTTAATTGAATCACACTTCTCCGGATTCACTTTCAAGTTTGACATGTGCGCGCGAATACCTACGCGTTGACATAAACATCGTTATTGGAACGTGCGCTCGTAGACCAAGTCCCCCGATCTCCGCATCGATACTTGACTAACTATCGATAATAGAGTTACATCTGATAATAACGCATCGATTTTCACTACCACGCCACTCTCGGCATTCGCAAATATTCGCAAATGTCGCAGAAATTTATGGTACGTCTCCTGTAATGAACCGTACGTAACATAATTACCCTGTTATAAATGTTCCCTCTAGGCAAGCACCAACGATTTTGCCATGGTAGATAGGAATCCATTTGCAATTTATTTCTTCACACAAATAAATATTCTCTTTCAATCAAAACTCTCGAGATTTCGAGAAAGAGTCAACTCCAGACTAGTCACAGCTTTTCCATCATCATTTTTAATATTTCCAATTGAAAACTACGAATATGTTATCGGAATAATATCTTTTATTCTCATGTCCTCATATGTGCATTACACTATAATTAAGGAAAACAGTATTCGCCCAACCTATTTGTAAATTGTATAAAATATTACTTTCAATCTTGTAGCGATGCAAAATGCGACCGACAGAATAACCATTTCGTGTTCGACGGCTTTTTCACTGATTGAATAATAAATATTCATAAATGATGCGTCGCATTAATTACCCACGCCCATTGTATTCTGCCACCGCAGTCGGTCGATGCAGCTTGTCGGTCATGCGATCGTAAATATCACCACCTCAAAGTGATGCTCAAAAGAAAAACTGTAATAAACAGTTAACCCAACGAGAAAATCATTGTAAATGGACTTGACATGATTGCAAAGAGAAATTGCCCTATCTTTTGTAAATTGTCGCTTTCTACACCAAGTGAATATCAAGTTGGATGGTGCACAAAATATAAAATTGATAGCCGACAAAAAATACACGTTACAAATGCAAATGGGGTAATTACAAAAGCTCTCTGCATGCAAATAATCAAGCCTTAAAAATTGCAGTGCCTGCTCGTTCTTTATTCAAGTAGTTTATCAATAAAGATCCGAACAATAAAATATCCGATAAAACGAACTAAGAAAAAATGAAAAGGTTAACCGTGACGGTTTTGACCTTTTTTTTGTAAATTATTACACGTTAATCAAAGATACTTGTTTTCGATGTCACCACCTGTAAACACTTTTACAAAGGTGTGTTCTCAGGCATTCTCTTTTGTGAATTCAAGCATAAACATATGTGTAATATAACATCGCCCAACAGCTTCTCTATGCACTCAAATAATTATACGAATGGTTAGAATTTACATCTGTATATTTCTAATAAATATCCAAATAGAGATTAGAAATTAGCATTCGCAACTCTGACTTGCATTTCAGATATCCTCTATACGACGGACTTTGTCTCCAATGATAAAATAGCAATTAGAGTATATAATGTTGTTTACAAGATCTTGTTAATGATACGTCCATATGTCGGTGGACGCGCACATGAATAAGTGCTATATTTAGTTAGTTATGACAAAGTTATTGTTACGGCTATCTATAAAATAACTTTCCTTTTTTTATTCCAAGCCCATCAAATAGATATATAATCAAATCAATTTATGAAAGGTTTGATACAAATGTAACAATTAAATAACAAATGTTTGCCTTAATGTTATATGTGTAATTACCGTAACATTAATCTTTTATGCTAATTTTAGTCAAAACAGAAATGAGTTGTTGTAATTATAACCAATTGAATTTTACACGACGCGTAAACATTCGAACCTTAATTTGTTCAAATATAAGCTGTTTGATTTGGATTGCATTATTCATTAAAAGTAATATTTCATCGATTCAATATTTCAGACACAAGATAGCTACAGCCGACGGTCAATTCTGTTTCAACTAACTCAGCAAAATTCAAGATACTATTTCTT